TTCAATTGGATGAACAAACAATTCACTTGACGCTTCTTTTCAGCATAAATCATATTTCATTCAAGAGGATGTTTTATTTCTTCTATCAACGCGAATCTAAACAAAAAAAAGAGCGACGCAGATATAATTTCGAATTAGACGCGAATGATGCAATTTATGTTGGAATGTTCAAGTTGAAGCGAATCTAAAGAAAAAAGTTGAAAATTTTTGAATAGAAAAACGGATCGACCAAACTGAAGATAAAAACAAAAATTCAGCTCAAACTGGGCAAAACAGACTCCAAGAATGAACGAATTAACACGATTGCGGCACATTTTTTCTTTATTAAACAATCATTTCTCAGAATTCGCTTTTTAAGCCAAGCCGTTCTAATTATTCGCAGAAAAAAGGGGCCGAACGAATCGATGTGACTGTAAAAAGAGAGTATATCATTTGTTTTGTCTGCGGCCAAAAAGTGCATCAAAATTAATGTATACACTCGCTGTGCGCGTTTGTTTGTTTGATTCAAACAAACGTTATTATTATTCTGTTTGATGAAGTCATGTTCATAAATAAAAGAACGCGGCCGCACCACACAAAAGAAAGAAAAACTAAACAAAAACCATGTGTAGTAATCGTTTGTGTGCGCGCGTACGAGAGAAAGAGCATATTGGAAATTGTGAGCGAAAATAATAAAAAAAAACGGCAATGCAACTGATGATAAACAACAACTGGCAATTGATGCGACGTGAACGATCACAACAATTTTTTATTTGTTGCGTTTTCATTGCTGCTCGATTCAAATACAAAATTGATAGTGGAACGAACAACGAACAAGTCAAATTTTGTGTGTCTGTAAAACAATAAAAGCATATTGTAAAAGAACGAGGCAAATTTTGTGTTGCTCTTTCGGTTTTGGTGGCGTTTCGGTTGGCTGATCATTTCAACGTTGTAGAAAGATAGTGGAAAAAAATATACGTTGAAATAATTATCAGTTTTCGAGGGAGAGAGAGAGAGAGAGAGAGAAACTATTACACAATATTTGCTTCACCCCATTTTCCGTCTCTTCGTTCGCCTGATCCGTTTCGTGCATCAAATGGAATGGCTAGAAAAAACGTTTCCAGGCTGTTTGACTCGATCAATGTGTCGTCTTCACCAGAATAAAACGTCACATTGGAAGGAATTCCAGAGCTGCAATGCCCAAAGACTAATATACGGATTGTTATACACAAACACATGCAAGAAGCTATCATTCAAAACCCCAAAATGGTACGCATCACAACACATACGCACACACACCTACAACCCAAACACCGTGTTGTTTAAAGTTTTATTCATTACTTCTTCTTAGTGGAAACGTGTTAATCTATTGTATTTTTTTTCACTTTTCCCACGCTAGGTCGAAGTTCTTTCTAAATGTGTGTTTGGTTCGACGTCTCTTAGTGTTTGCTTTTGTGTTGCGATTTTTGCCATTACCATTTTATGCATAGATAAAAAGAAGTGAAGAAAAAGCAAAGAACACAACGCTGCACACAATTTCATGAAGTGCGTTCCTGGTTCGTCTTTGCTAAGCTCGGCATAAATAGCCACTTTGGCAAACATTTAATTTAATGCAATTTTCTTGTAAATCTTTCGCTTATGGGCAACATGACATTCAGGTGAATGAACAAAGAATCCGTGTGATGTGGAGCATAATAATTGTGCACAAGAAACTGACCAAGTCAACGACCAAACGAAATGGAATTCTTTTTCTTCATCTCTGTCTATGTCTTGCAATTTGGAAAAAACGCGATCTTGATTTTTTTTTCTGTTCGGTCATTTATTCGTTAGTTTGTTGAGCGAACAGTAGCAATGACTGCAATTAGATACGAAATGAAGAAGCAATTTGGTTTTGATTGTATTTTTTTCCTACCTCGAACTACAAATGGAAAAAAAATTGAATGTAATCGCATTTTGATGATGAGTTCCCTCTTTGTCAAACGTTTACTAAATGGCGAATCTATTTGTATCCTAGCAAAAAAAAGTAAACAATTCCGGCTATTACAGCCCAACCAATGATATGTAAACAGGAACCACAAAATAGTGCATATAACGGAATTAGCATAAAAACACCGACCAATTTTGCTGTGACGACGACAACAACGACTCTCGTCTTTTTTCCCATCGTAAACACGACACGGAACGCTTAGCACAAAATCGTTTCTACCAGAAATGAAGGGGAAACAAGGAATTGGAAGAGGGAAACGAGTCCTTGTGAATGAAATTTGCATAAATTAGCTCGCAGCAACGTGTGTGCAGTTTCATTGAGAGAAAGGGATCGAATGAATGATAAATCATGAAATTCAAAAATGAATATTCCAATCAAGTAGTTGTTAACGCAAGCACACCCAGAGTCAATCAGTCAGTCGAAACCAAGGCAAACTTCATACATATTTAAATATAATAATATAATAAAATATACGCAGTGCGTACCAGAATTGAAGTGCAGAAACGAAGAAAACAAAATATTCCCATTTCAATCTATGCAAACAACAAATCCGATGGGAAATGCACCTGATTATGAGTAATAAAATAATTTCATCATAAAATCGAATAGAAACCGAAAGGAGATTTGTAAAATAATTCAAAGTTTTTCGCTTTTTTTTTGTTGTTTCAATTGGATTTGACTGGATGATAAAGTGCAAACTAAATGAACGAAGCAGCGATTCTATGGCTGCCGTGTGGCGCTGGTATGCCGCATTCGTTTTTACACGTGGTGTTTTTTTGCTTTGATCTATGCTAGAGGTGCATTGTTTTCGTACTTCAATAGATAGTAGCGACCATTTCATGTGGAATATTTCTACTTTTTTTTTTCCTTAATAAACAGTTCCCGCGCTTATTATGTTGCCTTGCCTCTCTGTGCAAGATTACATACAATAATAAACATACACTTTCTTCTATGCACCGTGCGCACATGTAATATAATCACACGCTGATATATATACATGTACTGTACACACGGGCAATCTCTGGTGAACCTTTCTCTCTTGCTCCCTCAAACTCTCTGATACGGCGCATAATTTATTCTTCACATCGGTGTGTTGTTTTGTGTTTTTCCGCTTATCCGAATGCTGATGGTGGTATTGCAAATGGTTTGCATGCGGAATAGTAGTAAAACATTTTCCCATGTCTTCCGTTAAATGTGATAGGCTGCCACACAAAATCTTTCTCAGCTACTCGGTAGCGAAACGACAAAGTTGCCATACGCTCAAATCGGATAAGAGCTCAGACAAGAAACAATCTTCTGCTCGCTATTAACGGTGTTTTGCATTTTTCATTCGATTGAGGGGCTAATAAAATTGTATTTTCGATGCCGCTCTGTCATTCCATGTCACTTCAATTATTTTGACCGACTGATGAGTGACGGCTTAATTTCGAATGTCATTTATGACCCGTTTCTCCATAATAGGCCAATCATAGATACATCGCGGTTTTTATTTTCTCACTCGATAAAAATGCACATCAAATTGGAGAAGTGAATGTTGCTGCGTTTTTCAAATACGTTTTTTTCTCGATGAATTTGTCTATTTTATGAGAAAAATTTATTCGAAACAACAAGAAAAAAATGCCAAAACTTTCAATTAAACGCATGCTATTTAAATAATTTCGCATTTATGGTAATGCGCGCAATGAATATTCATTGTGACTGATTTTCTCATCGAAAATGTTTGTCAAATGAAATCACAATGATTTATGGTTGACCATTTTAAACAATTGTCGCTCTGCACGAGTCTGAAACACAAACACCTTCAACTCACTCTTCGGCTATTAAGTCGATGAGGCAGATACAATAAGATAGTCGGCGTTGTATACAAACACAACAAAACCATTCAATTTGGTTAACGTTACTTTGACCTCTTTGGCCGATCTACGCATAGAATTACGAGTTTGATGACTTTATTTTTGTCATTACATGCGACACCTTCTATGTTTCCAACGGGGAATTTCCGTGTTTGCGTTTGTCGCATGCATTTTCTCTTTCCGCAGCACAAAACAAATACGTTTTCTATGCGAAACAGAACAAACAAAACAAACAGAGGCTGGAGAACAATGGTATTTTCCGTGTTTTATCTCAATTGTGGTGACATCCACAGCCACATCACACAGACATAAACCGCACCAGATTTTCGTCGACAATGTGCTACAAAATCCATAAAACAATCTCGATCCAAATACGAAAAAGAACACAAAACGTCCCTGCATTTTGGAAGAGTGGAGAAAAAAGTTGTATGAGAAAATGAATAACAACACACAAAAGCCGAAAAAAAGGTACACATGAACTGGCATACGAGATGACTGCGATGCAGTGAACCGCGAGTGCATGGTCGTTGTCGACGACGATGACGATAGTGGAAAAAGCAATGTTTATATTTCATTTTGGTTTCGTCTCTTGCGCACCATCGCAACCAACTCATTCGTTTTGTTTCATTTCCACTTGCGCAGCGAGCTGCTTTTCGAGTAAAAAAAAAAACATTATTTATTTTGTCATATTTTTATGTTTCCTATTGTTTTGGCTTTGGCTTGACTCGGTAGTCTTGGTTCGAAGAGTTTGAAACGGTGATTCCATATGCGCAGTGGAATCGTTCGCTTGTTTGATTCATTCTCTCATCGTTGCAGCGCGACTATCGTCGCATTTGTTTTACGCTCGCATTCGTGTGTTTGCATTCACTCTCAACCAACAGAGGAAGAAAAACATATACGAGCGCGGCGTCGCAACTTGAACTCAATATATATATAATACACACACAAAAGGTTCATTTCTTCGCATTCTTAATCACTTCTTGTGTGTTTGCCTTCTCGATTTTCTCTTTTGCTTCGGCTTCTTCGTTCTTTTGCTCTCTTTGTGTCTGCTGTTGCGCTCGGCCGTGTATGTGACTGTGTGTATGTGTGTTGGTGTTGGCGTGGAAAGCAATGCATGTATGTGAATTTGAGTATTTTGTATGCTCAACGCGAGCTACACACTTCATTTCCATTCGATCGGTGTGCGCGACAGGATCGTTTTCGTTTAAGTTCTGTTTTTTTATTCACGTTTCTCTCTGTCTCCGTGTTTATATTTTATTGCCCGATCTCGTGCATTTCGTAGTAGCAAGCGAAAAACATTCACGATTTAAACACACTTGTGCCCAGTTGGTTTTGTTTATATTTCAAAATTCGTGGAAGTGATTTTATCTTCACAGCGCGTCTACGAGTGAGAGTTTTCAGTTAATGGGATCGATTTGAAATTAGTGCTGAAATATAACGGAATGAATAATTGAAAAGAAAAATTGCATGAAGAAGTGTCTGAAATAGCCGGAAGGTAGAAATTGGCAATTTGAAAAAGAAAATCCCACAGATTTATTGAAAAAGTGAACGTTTCCAAGTGACAAAGTGTTAAGTTTAACGGCAAACGCCAAAGAAAAAAAAATATTCCGATGAGAAAACTTGTTGCAAGGTGCATGTCAAAGGCGCTTATGTGCCCACTGAAATAGAGAAAAAAGAAGAACAGTGAGAGGAAAAAAAATGTGTGATCAATGATTTCCGCTTGAGTGTGGGAATTTCGATCGATAGAAAAGGAAGAAATAAATATAGTAAAGCCACGCATGTTGTTTAAAAAAGGAGCTAAGTGCAGTGATGTTCGTGTGTTTGCCTGTTGAATGGATATTTCCGCTAATTTGATTCCTAGATCGAATTACATTCAATGTTTTGCTCGATGCTGGGAACCAAATTCTTGCATCTGTTGGTGAGCTCAATTTTTCATCTTCTTCTTCAATTTTTTCGTTAAGAAATAACGAGAGAAAAAATCGTAAGGGATTTTCGATGACTCGCATTTTATGGAATTTGAATAATAAAGCCGGACGATTTGAATGTTGATGCCAGATAATAACGAGAAGCCCCTCATTAAAAAATTGTCTATAATTTCATGACCGCAGCCGTGTTGAATGCTAGCACGAGCCGCAAACATTCATAAACTATAAATTGTTCTTCGACGCACACAAACAAAAAGGAAGAATCCTTCAAAGAACCGATAATTTGTGAAGCCCATTTAAAACCTCGTGCGCACATCAAATTCAGTTACCTGACAAGAGCTCCGAAAACGCAGACAAATCCGCCGTTTAGTTTTTTTGTTTGACCAAAACGCAGCCCGTTTTCAAGTACAACGCCTTTTTGTTTTCGTGTTCTCAGAATAACACCAACGATACCGAAATAAAAACACACCGTTTCAGACGGGAAACGAAAGGGAAACAAGCAAACGAAACAATAGATATGCAATCAGCATCAATGCACACGCACGCCGAATCCACAAGATAAACGAAACGAAGCTGAAGTAAATAAGAAGAAACACATTTTCGAGAGAGTTGCTTATTTGTGTGCACAATAAAAGGGCATACGTGATTTAATGAGACGATATCGAAGCTGGTGAGCAAGCACATCGTGTGTGCTTATATGTTTGCGCATTTCAAACATTTTCAATTAACTGCGCACTGCAACGCAAATATGTTTACTCATTTGAATACGGCATTTTTTTCTTCTTCTCGATCGTTCAAGAGGAGAAAAAATGTGTACACCAACTGGCTGGATTGTTGGTATTGTTTTAGTTTTCAGATGTCTCGAGAAATGAAATTATGTGTTTGTGTGTGTTTGTCTGCATTTGGTTGAACACTTTTCTCTCTTGCTTGCATGCGATCTTAAAGGGCCGAGACAGAGATAAATTAGTCTCTTCAGTTTCGAACAAACGCCGACAATAAACGACGGTCGACGTTCTGTGAATGTGGCACATAAGAAAGGGAAATATATACACAATGATAATCATGCGCTGCATTTACGTTTGTCATCTCGCTTCGACGCGATTGAGCACAAGTGGATTTTTATTGTGTCTGCACATTTACTGACTATCCCGAAAACAACAACAAAAACCACAAACTCTCTCGACTCCACTCTCGGATTCGAAAAGAGTAAATGACGACAATAAAGTCATACAAAGTGAAACTGAACCAATCAAATTCAAATGAAGAAGAAAAAAACATACATTTTATGGTTTGCTCATTGTACGCGAAGAGGTGAAAGAGGTTTGTTGCATTGTTTTCAGATGAGGCACACAAACACAGTATGTTAAAAATGATCGAAGCTCGTGCGCGCACCAAACGAACAAATATAATGAAACGATCGTTTATTTGCTTTTCGAAGCCTCAATTCGTTGTTTGATGTCTTTTGTAACACAACACTTCGATTTGGTACGGTCCATTGTGTGTAATTTCACACAACATTTAAGCCATCCATTCCGTTCACGACACACTCACACACATGTGTGAAGAAATGGAGTGAAAAAGGCCATTAAATAGAAAAATGCATTCCGGTAATTGAAATTACCATTGGTTGTAAATGGATTTAAGATCGTAATTCATTGCGCGCGAGTGTGTGTGTGTGCGTTTGTGCTGCAAATCCAAAATTATTCATTTCTAGTGCGTAACGCGATACACGTTACTAAAAAGCCACTTGAAAACCATTTGTGTGTCGGCTTGATCTTTATCGTCACTTCACACACAAATTCTTCATTATTTTCATTTCCAATGTATAAATCTTGCGTCTTGTTATTTCTTCTTCTCGGTGAAGTACTTTGTACAATTGGTATTGGAGTTCATTTGTATGGAAATTAAAATCGTAACCTAATTTATTATTCAAAAACCGCCACTTTGGAACGCCTGGTAGATGACATTTCACTACATGTTTACACGTTCCACCGCACCAACATTCCAGCAATTTAGATCGATTGTTTGTTTTCGAATTGTTCACGCTTGTTCCGAATGCAAATCAATTATATTCAGTTGGCCGAAACTCCATTTATTTTGCCTTCCAACGAACGCAACACAGAGAAGAGAAAAAACACATATTCCGTCATTTGAGTGATTTGTTCTGCGTTTGATCTGGGTGTATGAGTACTTGTGTCGGAATCGTGACACTTTTCAATGACTTTTGCTGCGATCATAAATCAACGCTTACAACGAATTAGAATTAATTAGGCAAATAAAATAGTTTTAATGAGGCAAACTGAGACGCTCTTCAGCCGCGCCGCACATTTTGAACTTTCAATCGAACCGAAATCATAAATATTAGCCAATGTACTGACTCATTTAGAGCCGAGAAATATCAAGCACGATCATTCGATATGACTTGTTCAGTTTCAAGGTCCAGCTCACATAAAATCACACTTCAAAAGTGAACCGTAAATGAGTTCACATTTTCGAAATAAATTCCGCATTACTTTAGCCGACTTTATTCGCCGAATCCGAACGAAAGGCAATGCAAGGGAAAGACGATAAAATTACCAATTAGCTTCGTTCAATTGATTTTTAATTGTTTTGTTTGTCCAAAGTAATTTTGGTGCATTCAACCCGATGATGTAAGCCGTTCGCATGCAACAGATGGCGACCATCTTTGGAGTCCTTTTCCCGAATCATTGCAACATTCGACCACAACCTCTTGATTACACACAGCCAATGCAATCCGTTACAAATTAATTCAGTGAAAGAGAGTGTGTGAGAGAGAGAAAGGGGTCAAAAGAGTGATGTACACAAAAAGAATTGCACAAATTGGCATTGTTTTATTGTGTGGCGGGCACAAATTTAATGGATTCAATTGCTGCCGGTCTCTGCTTGAGTTGCAACCAGAAATGAACATTGTTTTATCTCGGCTTTTTTGTTCGCACAATAAATTATTAGCGTCATGTGCAATAATAATGATAGTATTTAATTCTGGTTTCTTGGTGTTTCTTTTTCTGTTTGATTCAAACAAATCGCTTTCATTGCTCAATTTTACGCTCAATGATTATTATCAATCAAACGGTCGGTTGCATCGTGGATCGAAAATACATAGTTTTACCATTGATGTTACTCCAGCAGCGAACAGAGAGCGTTAACCATCTACGAGAGTTCAACACCAATCCCAAATACGGAATGGGTTTGTTTTACAGTTTTAATTATTACATCTTCTGGGTGAATCATTCACAAAGATGCAATGTAATACGTGCGCGCATTTCAAAGTCTAACGAAATGTTGCGAATGCAACATTGAAGCACTCACACACAAAGACACAGTTTGCGTGCGCATTTTAATCGACTCAATCAAGATATTTGACTATGCCTGCACTTGTAATACTTGATTTTGCTGTATGACATGACAACTGTTTATTTGCTGAAAACTTGTTCTATCTCACGATAATATCTGCTAATCTAGCGTTCTCTCTCTACTTATGCAACGTTCATTACACTCTCAGTTTGACTAATTTATCGTTGCGAAGGCTGGCAATAAATCCATTAAAAATGTTTATGATATTACAACAACAGAAAAAAGCTGAAGACTTGTGTTGTAGTTTTACAGAAATCATCAAATATCCACAAGTTTTATCATTGCGAAATACGACAATAGAAAATTAGTTGGCAATGCTTTTGGATGGAGTCGAAAAAAAGAAACTAAAACTCTATGCTCGAATAATGAACATGAAATATACTGCTATTCAGGTCGATGAAAATGCAATATCTAACTATCTATTGTGTCAGAGTTTATATCGGCTCGACAATGTTTGTTTTGGCTGGAGTTTTGTATACATATATCCATATATTCAGTGTCGTTTAACTAGACATCAGATCGTTAGCTCGAATGCCACCAATTTTCTTGCTAACTAATCTCTCTCTTTTTCTCTCGCCTAATTATCAATTGGTAATTACTGTTCGCTGTTCCGATGCAAACAACCATAATAACGCTTCTGTTTTCTCTCTCACCTTTTGTCTAAATCCGTCGTGACCTATAATCAAATTAAAATTTCTCTCCGATTTCAATTGTCTAGCGATCGAAAATCGTGGCACGGTTTTTTTTCATCGTCAAGCATATATATGCCGAACAAAAAAAAGGTGCCTATTGTTGTTAATTATAACCGAGAAAATAATCGCCAATAATGATGATGACATGATGAGAAGCTCAAACAAGATATTTAAACGAAAGAAATTATCAGCTCGCTGAACCATACACACACATACGTGTATCGAGGTCGATTCAGCATGCAAATTCTGTTTTTGCCTGCTCAACCACGGCAGTAAACATCGACCGTGTATGTGTGTATGCGCGAGATATGCCGAACGAAATAAAGCATGGTTAAGCCGAAAATGCTGTAAAAGGAGTGTCCGAAACGAGCGAACACGAAAATTGTCCGTGGTCATCCGTTGAAAAGTCAAAATGACCACACCAAACGATGGACTTTTTGTGTATACACATGCAAATCAATGGTCACAAATCATAAATCAGACAATGTCGATGGCAATACAAATAAAAGAGCGACTGAAAACAAAAAACGAACGAGCAAAGCCACAATCAGCGAAATGAAAAGAAAATCACCATATCGTTTGGAAATCAGAAGCTACGGCGACGAATGATGTGTGCAGAGATAGCGAAAGAGAGAACGAATGAAAAAAAAAATGGTACATGCATTGTGTACTAGAGCTCGGTTGTTTGACAACAAGAATGGTACGAGCGCGGCGGCTGGGTACGCGAATTTTTAGTGTTTCTGCTCTTTTTTTTCTCTGAATAAACGAACAACCGACCGACCGACCGAATGAAACTCGTTTTTTCGTCGTCACTGTTTGAACATTGTTTGTGGGTCAGACGATAAACAGTGTTTTATCTTTGGCAACAGTTTTGGTTTCTGGTTTTCCATTCCATCCGTTTCCAGTTCCTTGTTTCGATGGCAGAGAAATGAAGAGAGAAAGAGAGACAGAGGCATAAAATGCAGTGTATCATAATTTTTTATTGGCTGCTTTATGTTTTTTACGAAGCATTTCGCAAGCAGCTGAAAAAAATGAACCGACCGGACAAAAATGCGATCGAATGAAAGAGACGCAAATAGAATTGAGCTCAAAATAAGAATTTTTTATTTCTTCTTTTTTGTTTGTTCTGCCGATCAATGAATAACGGTATTTTCCCGGTGATAACATTCTTGCGGCTCTTGAATTGATGACTGGTTTGTTTGGTGTATGCGGTAATCATTCCTTTTTGATCAACAGCTAAATTTGAATTTAAATGTTTTATTTTTGTCATAAATGGCTTTGGAAGATCCAATTTCTGGTCAGAAATCTGATTATAAAAACATTTTTTGTTATTGAAATGGTATTTTGATGTTTTGATCCGAGGAAAAAAAAAACGAATTCAAACAAAATGAATATGAATGAATGTCCATTTGATTTTCGAAGATTCGAGAATTAAGCCGCCAATCATTTATTCCAGTCAACTAATTGAACATTTTAAATGTCTAAGCTGCACCAAATCAATTCTCTCGGTCACACTGGCTTTTCAAAATTAATCGTCTTGTTTTTTTTTCTACGCGATGAAAACAGACATTTAAAGAACATCAAACACAATAAATCCATTGAGCTGTTGACCAATGCAAAAAAAAAAACAATACAAAACGAAAAAAAAAAAAAAAATTATGCCAATCGTAGCTCAGAGGCATTTTGAGAGTATGCTACTGCTGTACGGTCCATTCATCGTATGAAACCATCATTCACAAAGAGCCAGAGAGAGAGATAAAATGGTAATAAAAAGTGAATTGAAATATATTCCATTCCATTGAAAGGTTTTTTCTGTTCTCCGAAGTGTTGTGATATGGTCTCTCCAGCGTGTGCATTTACATTGAATATTATGTGTATTTGTGATGGTAGACATAGTATAAATCGTAAGCACGTGTTCGATGTAAAACCGGTTTGGGATTTTCTCGTTTCCAATAATATAGTGAGTTTTGTTTTTAGTTTTCCGATTGTCGCCTTCCTTTCTATTTCTATATGCGATACAGACAAACCGAAGATAGAGAGAGAGGGAGAGAGAGAAATCACTCGCGTCCAAACACATCAATCTTCATTTGGATTCAGTGTTTGATGTCCATATCTACTACGCAACCATTTGACATGTAAACACAAATCTCGGTAAATCATTCAGAGCGCGCATGTCGTCAACACTCACTCTCTCACACACAGAACACCCGATGCGATTGAGGTGAACAATTGGAATTGGGCGTAGAACCACCAACTGAATTTGCGTCTGAATTGCCTTCATTCAATTTCTTCATTCGATTTTTGTTTTCTCGCCGTTCGGCTAATTGTTTGACAATCGCTGTGGCATCTGTGGTCTCTGTGCATTCATCGAACGAGCGTATGATTTCGTGTGACGGGTGTGTTTACGCGCGTCATGCAATCCCTCGCCTCTTTCTTTTTTTCTATATGCTTCAATTCCAAAGCCTAAATCTAAATTGAAATCGATACACGTAAATACGTAATTGTCTTATATGGGCCCATGGTTTTTTTCTCGATGGTATATTTCATAATTTTTTGTTGCCCATAAAAATATCAAAAACACTCAACGCACCCAAACATTTCGTAATAATTGTAATTCAATATATGAGCCCGCTCGCTGAATTTGGACAAAACAATCCGAAGAATCGGATCACCGAGAATGGCTACGAGGCAAACGTGTAAATAAAATGCACACCGTGAGTCGAGTTTATTAAGTCAACGCGTGAGCCATTGGGAGCCCTATGGAATTTATCGCGCATGAAAAAGACCATTTATGAACAAATCACAATAGAATTATGTATGTGCTTTGCATTTTGTCGTTGAAGCAAAGCGAAAAAAAAAATTATTCATGTCAAAAATACCAAGCAAACGGAACATTCGGTTTTCATCCATGGAATAAGCGATGAATTTGAGTAGTGTACACTGTATGATAGAATGCATGAATTTAAGGAACGTTGCGCGACCGAACAGAGAGGAAAAAAACGCCATTAGTGACATAAACAAAAACTGAGGTGTTGTTATTCATGCTATGAGTTTAAGGAGTGGTTATTTATGAAAATCACTTCGCATTGTATCCCGAAAGGAACACCAATTATTGTTTGTGTTCTGGATTCTTTTGCTCACCTCATTTAAATACGATTAAGTCAGTCAGCGTTTCCCCCTACTTTTTTTTATTTCGTTTACTTCATCAAACGTTCCAATTATTTCTATATGCTGAGTTAATGCTTTTTTGTTTTTCATTTTCTCTATCTAATGAAAGTGTTCCGTTTATCTTTTTTCTTCTGCAGATTGATTACTATCATCTATACATCCGACGAACAATACCGTGGTGCTGAGCACGAAGCAACTTCCTGAACATTAACCGTGGTGCATCGACGCAATTTTGGGTGAAAATAACAGTCAGTTCGTGGTCAATTAGGCGTGAGCATTGAGCATTTTGTGCCGACCGTTTCGGAAAGGATTTACGGCCGTTGAATTTGTCTCTGTTGATTTGTGTCTGTTGTTGTTATTAATATTGTGAATGTTCAAAGCAATGAATCGTGACTCAGCACGAAAGTTAAGTGACAGTGACTTCTGGCAAATATGCCACGAAATGCATCCGAGTACAAATTATACATTTCCTGTGGCTCCGATGCTGGGTGTGGCAAACAATTTGGATAATTTTGTCTCGAATCTCGAAAGTTTGGATGAACGTCTCGGTTTTGAGCAACACGTTTCGACGAGCGAAGAAGTGTCGAGTGATGATTCACTGCAAAATCTCTATGTAAAAAAGCAGCGTGCACATCGAAAACTGATGAGTACCCATGCGAATTGTGTAAATACACAAAAGATTCTCGATACAATCGATTTGTTCAACGATGAAGACGAAGAGGACAAACGAGAGTGTGGGAAAATGGGTGAAAACGGTAAAAGTGACGAAAGCAACAATACAAATCACAAACAAAATGAGCTCAAGCTCAACCGATTCGACACCAATGAAATAGATGCAATTCAAAATGCCGATGATTTACTGTTGAAAATTGCGGACAGTGTACAACAATTAAAAACGAATGTCAATCAAATGAGCGAACTGAATCATAAACGCGAAACAAGTTCGACGGATGCGTTTGCAGTAGGCGATTTGATTGACTTTAGCGACGATTGGACTAACGGTGAAAGCGATAACAACCTTCATGCGAGTGACAAGCCCATAAAGAAAGTCACGCACTCATGCGTTCAAGGTAATATGATTCTAGTTTTATTTTGCAGTTTCCATTTTAACGAGATATCGTTTGTACGTAGCATTCAAACGTTCGTTTCAATCTTCTTTTTTTGTTATGGAATGCGAAATGTGTTTGTTTTCGAATTGAAAATCAACAAAAGATTTAGGTCACAATGTATGAACTGCATTTTAGCAATGCAACCAGCAAAGATAAAATGCATGTGAACAATCAAATTTAATGGCAAAAAAGGTTGAGAGAGAAAGAGCGAGAGCGAGGAATATGACAACGGCATTTGGTTCTCATCTGTTTTTGTTTTGTTTTATTTTTCATTCGACAGGATCACTTAATGATGGTGTAGGCAATGAAAGGCTTCCATATGTCAAATTTGAGCAGAGAAAAAATTTATTAAATAATAACACAGGAAGAGCCGTTGCTTCAAATGAAACTAAATACGATGCTAAAATGGAGTTGAACAACCATAGAAGTGGCGTACAGGTGAACTATTGCGATGAATGGCATACTGAAAACGGTAATGATTATCCGTCACCAACGACAAGCGAAAGCAGCAACGGCAGCAGTTGCAGCTACACGGACAGCTTGAGCAATAGTAGTAGAAGCACTGTCAGTGACAATTTCATTGAGACTGAGACCAGCGTTGGCCATACGTGCACGAACAGCAACAGTCACACACTGAATACCGAACACAATAGACCGTACGAATTTGAGCAGTGCGCACATCAAACGCGACCGAACGGCATACGTACAAAAATTAACGGCGATGACAAAGGCCTAGTAGCACATCCACTTGCTTGCCAGTCGAATGCTGCGATTTCTCGTGCAAAAATCAACATTGAAACAAACAGCGAAAAAGACAGTTCGAACGGCGCATGTGCTGTACATACATTCGTCACCTTCACCCACACGATACGAGACAATAACGAAGTGAATTCATCGATCGAGCCACAACCGCTGCCATTTGGGGGAGAAAAGGCTCCACAGGACGTGCTTAAAACGTCATCGGCTTCAGAGCAACACACACAACCAGCTAACGATTGTAAGCAAGTTCGTATTGAGTCTTCGGTTGTAGTAACGCAGCCGGAACCGTCTGCCATACCATCGTCATTCATCGAACCATTACCACTAGATACCAGCACATCGGCACACAGTTTTAGTTTACAAGCTGAATGGGATGCTGATAAAAACAACAATCCTTTGCATTACAAGGACAAACGAACAAAAGCTCTTCCACTCTGTACGGACAAATCACATAATTTATCAGCAACACACGAGAAGAGTATAAATTCCAGATATTTTTGCGGTGAAAATCAATTGAAAAGGGTCAATGTAATAGCAAGTGAAAAATTTGTGCCAATTTTATGTGAAAAACTCGAACAAAATCCAAGCAAAGTCAATCGAAATTTGAGCACAGCCAGTGCTGCGTCGACACCAATATTTTCATGTGATGCAGACAACAAAGATGAAAGCGAACACGTCGCTCGTAGCAATGTGAATGCGAAAATATGTTTGCGAAAAAACTCGACCAAATGTAAATTAAAATATCGAAAAACGGTGCATGGGTGTTGGTGTGAGCAGAAATTAGGAATTTCAGTGGGAAAAACCAATAAATTGAATCAAAAGTGTAACAAACAACGAGGTGGTAGCAGACTCAAGTGTCGAAAAGAGTGGAACAATTGTGTAAAACGTCAGAAGAAAAACGCTGATCGAAAAAATCGAATTGGCAAGCAGGTACGGTGTAATTGCAAGTGGAAATGCTGTCGTGGCCATTTATGTGATTATGATTTATGTGAAACGCTTCTAGTGACGTCTAATACGAGTGGCGAAATAAAATCCAGTCGCCATCCAGTGGTTAATAATAATATACTGATTGCAAAACGTGAATACGATGCCAATGTTGCAAGAAATAATGATAATCGTAGTGAAAATTTTGTAAGAAGAAAATCGGTGCAGAAAAAAATCCAATCGTCTGGTGGTCGATCCGCGGATGGTACAATCAGTCTGTCTCAATCGAAACGCCGTAGTGGTAGTAATGATAATACGTGCGATACAGTAACATTACCATATTCATCGACAACAACAACGACGACGACGACGTCTTCGACGACAAGTACCGTGTACGATGCAGCAGTAGAAACGACGGCAAGTGATACGGACCAAAGTTTAAAAGCTATAAATAAAGCACTGTACATTGACAGCACCAACAGCAACAGCAACAACAACAACAACGAGCATAATCGCTTAATTACTGCAACCGCGACCGAGCTCTGTGCGAGTGATGTGTTAGTTGATGCAGATGAATCCAGAAAAATACTTGAACTATCGCCACCCATTGAAAAGATAAAGCAAGTGCTCAGTGCAGTAAAGTGTAGCGATACTGATCTTAGTGCCGTTAATTGTGATAATAATCGGTGTTGTGTTGAAAATGCGACAAAGCCAACAAAGTGTGACGATAGCGCGAATAGTGTCACCACACTCAATGCGAATTCATTGAAAAACTCGCTGAAATTTAGCGAAAGCTGCGATTCGATATTTACATTGAAGCGCTTTGCTCCGACGTCGTCGACATCATCATCGTTGCTATCGCTAAACGGTGGAGAGCCATTTGAAGCGAGCAATCGCTTACGACGTCTCGAAGAACGTTTCAAAGACTTTGCCATTACCTCGGCGAACAAAAAAGGTAGGTGTGTGAACAACAATAATTTGTCGCAGTCGTCGACAATCCCAACGCACCAGCAGCAAATTCAGCTAAAACTTGATAGCAAAGGTCATTTCGACGCCAGTACAAAACAACAAGAGCGGCAACAGCATCAACAGCAAATTATAGATGCGTCGCCATCCATCGAATCGCCAACTAACTCGGTCACTGATAAAACGCTCGCCGAACCAAAGAGTTCACATTTGAGTGATGGTGTCATTAGCAGTGAAAATGAGAGCAATTTAAAATACAGTGACGGCAATAATAATCACATCAAATTAAAAACCCATACCAACGAAAAAGTCATCGAATCTGAATGTAAGCAGCATATTTGTTGCGCGCACACATTATACAAACGTAAACAAAGTGAACATTTTAATTCCAGTGAAGTGGACAGACGTGAATCGCCAATTGGTGTAGACAAATTTATAGGAAACAGTACGGACAACCACCCTATAATTCAACGAGCTTCCACTTCAGACGAAGACGAAGGCGACGACGACTACAACGACAACGACGACGACGGACCAACCGTCGACGTACGGCAGCAAAAAGCTAGTCAGCCTCAATCCATTGTCGACGAAAGCTCAATAAATAACTTTGATGATTCAAGTACTGGTGCGCAACCATACAAGGCGTATGATTCGCAAGAGAGCTCATTAAAAAGGGATTCCACTCAGCAGCAACAGAAAATCCAGGCAGCAAACGAATTCAAAGACGATAAACCTAATCCGAACAGTAAATCATCAACGAAATCATTGAGTAACGACCAATCACCAACAATCAATACATGCGAAGAGAGCGATAACATTGGCCGAAGCCAAAGCATCATTAATTTTGATGGTAACAAAAATAACCTTGAACAAATATTAGACGATAAAAACCAAACGAAAGGAATTCATCAAAAAGATACACAAGCCAACAACGGCAACGACTGCGACGAGCGAGAAGCGGAGCAAAAATCAACCAAAGAAAGCACATCGAATGCAAATGAAGCTCAAGAGAGCTGTGCAGAAGTCGATGTTCAACAGCTCGATAATATAGCGAATCGTTTAATTAATTGTACGCCCGTGTCAATAAGCACCGAATCCGAGGAAGTTTGCAATCTTTTCCCCGAAAATCAGCGCATAACTAGCGATTCGCCATTCATTTATCGTGACGAAGAGCTCAAAACTAATTGCATTTTTGACGTACGCCAGTTAAGCGGATTCCATTTGCCGCCGTTCGATAACATTTTCGAGTGCTATGATGAATTGGAAGATGATGTTGATGACAGCGAAATTCCAATTTACGGTCTCAATGTAAATCAATCAAAAGGTAGGGTTTTTTTTCTGCTATGCGCATATTAGAAATGGAATGAATACACTCAAACCGTTTTCCATTGAGGTGTAAATCAAATTGAATTTCCATTCACTCTCCCTCTCTAAATTGCTCCACATCAATTATGACAAAAACAAATTTCCTTTTCAGACATTTTAAATAATAACGACGACGACGACAACGACAACAATGATGCTGAATTAACTAGTTGTGATCCAGAGCAATTAAATTTTCCGTCAAATTACTGTCAGTGCACCATTGAATCAATTGTACCATTGTATCCCGAAGCCTATCGACCAACGTCAAATAAAACAGCTGCAATCATGCGAGACATGACAAGTAGTGGCACTTTACGTGGTTTATTGAAAAAACCCAATCGACCGCCACCGTCGCAGAAAAACCGTGTCATATTCGATGAAACACGGAACGAATTCTTCGATGCCGATTACATTATACTGGTACGAGATGATTGCCCATACGATGAGGAAGACGAAGAGCCGTGCACGTGTGGCGAACACGAACTGGTGCGGTTATGCTGTGATGAGGGTTGTCAATGCACTGCATACTCCGATGAAGGACGCACACCACAGGTAAAATTTTGCACTTGCAAAAATTCCGTACGCGAAAACTTTTCAAGATCCATTAGTCGAATCGAATTCGCTCGGTCGCTGAATGTGCTCAATCGATAAATTATCATTATAAAATTGACGCCAGATGCTGTTTCTTTGAGGAAAAGTTTTAGCAAAATGGCTTTCTTCCGTTTGCATCGTAGTGAAATATCGTTGCAATTTATCTACTTACCCATTTATTCGATTTTCATTGAACATATTTTCCACATTGTAACATATACATATACAGTGTATATTATACACTCATGTGTGTCTCATAATAATGTGCTCAAATGTGCATTTTACCGAGAATGTTATTAGTTTTGACATAACTCATATACAGCGTACATGGGATATGATACAAATATTATAACTTAACAAAAACCTTTGACTTCACAGACATTTTCGTCGTAGTTTAGTGATGGCATGGCATGACATGGAATGGCATAGTTCCAAGTTTTTTTTTTCAACTGGAATTCGGTGCAAGTTTGGGCATTGTGCTCAGTTGAAATTGTGCGCCATTTCAATACGGGTAATTTTATATAGTCTTCAAGATGATGTCGTAAAGAAGGGAAATGAGCCATTTTACCCGAAAATATAAATACTAATTAACTTGTTCATTTCGGTAGTGTATATCCCATTCATTCATTTGGCCTACTGCTATATTGATAAAAGCTCGAATAAAAGCTGAAAATCGAGAGCGGCTGCTACAGACACGATATTACGTCTCACTTCCATTTTGGCCAACTCCATACTGTCTTTGATCTAACTGAAGACAACGTTTCGCTTTTATTTATAGACAAAGACCTTAAGCACACTTAATTCATTTTGGCGGTGATGGTGCGCCTGTGCAAGACAGCAAATGCGATAAATGCAATTATCAAATGAAAAATCAATCAAATGTGCACACAAACGTGAAATTAGATGAAAATCAATGGCAATTCCCCATTGGTCTAAACAATGTTGGCAATTTTCTCTTTGCCATGCAAATTTCACTGTTTTTCCGCTTAATATTTAATTTCCATGGCAATCTCTTCTTTTTACTTCATCCAAATGCTCTCTTTTCGCACATAATCAAATCATTTAAGTTGTTTACCAAACTGAATATGGCGTTTTTGTTTGCACGGGAAAATCGAGTCGACAGCATCGAAAAGATGTGGAACTCAGAAGATGAACAGCGTGTTTTGTGTCCTTGTTACGTTTTCATCGTATTTACTGCTTTTTTTTCGCACCGTGATTTAGGTACACTTCACGTCGTTTACGTCACAAGACAAATGGAATTTGTTTGATTTGTTTACGATTCATGCGAGTGTGCAATGTGCATACAAATGAGGAAATAAGCTTTCGAAATGATGTTACGCTGCACATATATTTCAAACGGATTTCATGGATTTAATCGCGACAGAGAGAGAGAGACAGAGACAGAGGACAAGAGCATAATGGAAAAACAAAAAGCAAATGTTTTCAAAGCTTGAGATTTTATGCTCGAGAAGAAAAAAAAATGAAAGTTGCTTCTAATGCATTCCATAAAATTCTTGAAATTGTGGTATGTGCCATTTGTGTTCAAGAATGTTTCTCGCGCAACTCAAAGATAGACATAAAACTCTCTCTCACTCGTTCGCTGTGTGTGTCTCTCTCGTCCCGTGTCAAATGCGAACTGCGAACAAATGCCAAACAAAGTTAATTTGAATAAATAAAATGAGAGGAAGAATTCCTTATTGGTTCGAATTTTCCAACATTTTGCCTCAGAGTCCATACACAGACACACACACACACTCCCCTGCTCTCTTGCTCCCATTTCGAAAATGAAATATGATTCTGTGTCGCACCGAAAACGGCGTAGAAAACTGCAAGTGAATAGAATTGCCAAAACAAGTTTTTATTCGATAAAGTAAATGAGTGTGTGTGTGCGCGCGCTCTTGGTTGAATTTGTGAAAAGGCTTTGAATCTTCTATTACATTATTATTGCATAATCAAATTCAAAGTCCTCAAATACAAAAGCACATTGAACTGGCAAAGGGATGAAGATGAAACTTCAACGCAATTGCCTATAATTCAATATCTATTTCATTAGTTATCAATTTTGTTGGAGTAGCTGCTCCAAGCAGTATTCACATGGAATTTTCAAGGAGTGCCCTCGCCTTTTCTGCTCTTTCTTTTCACCGAAACGAACCGTTTCGAATGTGAGAAAACGTCGAAGACGAAGTGAACACAACATATACTCAGGTTTGGGTCAATGTTCTTTGCTTTGCGATTCGCTCGTTGGTTCGTTCGTTTATTTGCTAGTAGCACGTAAAACTCCCACGAGGCGATCAGCGAAAAATGTCCCGTGAAAAATACAGCGAATGCACTGTGTTTGCGTCAAAAATGTCCATTCATTGATAACGTCCAGGCACATGAGGTACAGTTAACCAGTTTATTTTCATTTGGTTTTAATTACCAATTTTTTTTCACTCCTTCAAACTGACGAAATTGCATGAAGAGGGCAAAAAAAAGCACACTGTTAAAGTGAAAAAAAAAACTCAACAGCATTTGCTTGTGACGTGCAGTCAAAGTTTCAAGCATACAAAATATGTGGAAGAGTAAATAAAAGTCATTCGCATATTTATCAAATGAAACAATGCACAGAATGAACAATAGGCCATCGAAAGCACTGGAAATACCATCGCATTACATCAACCGCTGATGCTCCGGCAGAACCGATGTTCAATTTATGCAAAAAAAAAATTATTGCTTTTTCTATCTGGGAAGCGAAAAACAGCGAAAAAATGTGTGTGAGGCGACCACCAGCTTACAACTGCATTGCCTGGTGCGCATTTTAATATTCTTTTCATGCGAACGGAATATTTGTTTCCGTGTATTTGTATCTATGTTGTCTCGCCAGTTTGTGTTTATGTCACTGGTCAAACACACTACTTTCACATTCCACACACACAGAGAGAGAGAGACAGAGAAACACTCATTGTTTCGAATGAATTTGAGAACAGAAAAACTTTTCGAGGAAAATTTACAAATTGCTTTCGAAACATCCATGGAAATGGCACCGAGCACATAGCATAAGTGAGTTGAGATGACATTGAGCGAACGAGCACACGAAAAGAGGGAAAAAACCCGAAACGAGAATATTGATTGTTCTATTTAAAATGTCTTTTTGTGATGACATTATTCCGTTGGTAATTAGAAGCAGCTAGTCTATTTATAGAGACTACAAGGAAATGAATTTTGCGGCTTCATTTTTCAACACGATGATATTTATATTTTTGTTTTTGTTGCTTTTATCTTTCTTACAGAGTCCCAAATATGCACCGCCCATGGAATTTGTGGATCAAGCGGCATTGAGTCCGCCTGAAGGTTATAAGGATGGCGGTTTGCAGCAAGCTTTAGGTGGTGTTCTAGGTAGTCACATCTTTGGAGCTCAACATATTCAACAGCTGCAGGTGATTCAACGATTGCAGGCAAAACGGGCGGCTATGTTGGCCGCTCAGCGTAACAATAACGGCACTAGCCAAAGTGGTGGCAGTTCAAAAAATCAATCTACACCACCGCCACCGCCGCCTCCATCACAAACCATTTGCACCGAGTGTGCTGAATGTACGGAGTGCGCGGCAAAACAGGAACATGAAGAAGGTATGTCACAATTTTCCTTTGAAATTCAAACAAGAGTGATTTTCTCTTCCAGCTGAAAGAGAAGAAAAAAAAAAACGAATTCGCAACGAATGAGTGTTGCGAGGTGAAGTTATAAAAATAACATTCTACTTTTTTCTCTCGATTACGTCGTTAAAAGGCAACCGCAAAATTTATTTTCGTTTCAATGGGAAAGATTAGGGATTACAGAGAAAGTGAATGGGGTTGTTGGTGGTCGGAGAAAAGTCGAGCTTCGGCAATTCCATTACTTTCTTTCTCATGCCATAAATAACGGATGAGCATGTCTTCCGTTTTCCGACATTTCATTACGTGCAATATCGTTTGCACACCCCAACCATTCGCATTCGCATTCACACAATATTATTTACCACAAGTCATTCGAGCATGACATTTTAGATTAAACACATGCGGTTTTTGCTGCTGCTGCATTGGCCTGCTACGACGACGACGACGACGACGACGACGACGACGACGACGACAATGATGATTATATGATAGTAGTTCAATTGTATAGACAGTTTTCCCTTTCGTAATATTCTTTTATTGGACATGAACATTGAACATGAACGTTGAACACATCACGAAATGGTTTTAATCATTCCGAATTATTATGTTAGAGAAGAAAGTGCGTCAGTTCGTTCGTTCAGTCAACTTTCAGCCTTGACCCAGCGTGTGTCGTACGTGTTAGCGTCGCGCATATCGCAAGCAATCACGCATACTCCCGCACCACCATCGAAAGACGGCAACTAAGACCGAGAAGACAATCGCTTGAGTCCTGTTAGGATAAACAGTAGCAGCGTTGGGTGCATGTTGTTGAACCAATGCGTGCGTGCCTTTGATTGGCTCGCCCCGGTTTTCTTCCCAACACTTTCATTCAACATTCCGTTTTCGTATGGGTTTTTCAATTTGCTCAACCAATCTGTGACCTTTTATCAGATACATGCATTTGACGTACGCTTTTGGTTATCTCCGAAAAGTTGAATTCAAAACAAATAAGGGTGCACATTATATAGGTATATACCATATCGCCTGGGTAAATTCGCTCGAACAGAATCAACTTGAAAAAGAAAACTTTGAATAAATTTGGTATTAATCAAATGCCTACGCAGACAAAACTGACACTCGAACGATGGCAAGTCTATCATTGAGTCGAACATTTTTTTTAGTTATGCGAATTTAAAAGGAATGCAAAGCGCAGACACATTTTGCCCGAATAAATCTCACATTGTCAATGGTCGTGCGGATCTGTTTTGCCTTTCCCTCTTGTTCTTGTTCTCGCTCTCGCTCTCTCTCTCTCTCTCTCTCTCTCTCTCGCTCTCTCTCTGTCGCCCTTGTTCGCACTTGACAATCATTTGCATCAGAATTCGGCCGTTGGATTAATTCGATGGAAAAAGTTTTAAATTCTATAATTTTCACTTGGCACAAGTCAAAACAAAAGTTCCACTTTTATCACCAATTCATTGTTTATCTTCTTCATTAAAACGTGCCATTCAGTGTATGAACTAAACCCGTCTGACTAACAATGAACGCTATTTGCGTTGAATTTTGTTTTGGTGTGCTGTGATTAAAATTTTAATCGTTGAATGTAGTGTGCGTAGAATAATTCCATTAGAATTGGACGTACGACATCAAACATACGAAATGAAAAAAGGGTAAACTGACTTTTTTATGACCCATTGTAAAAATTTGGCATTTGTGCATGGTATCAGTTTCAAACTACATTTAATGATTCAGTGAACGTAAGCGCAGTGCGCTCTCGCTTCAGCAGAAATCGAACACACGTTGAAAGTGAGCAGCAACAGCGACCCACAAACAAAAATAACGATCGTATACGTAAAAGAATTTTGTTCACAAAGTAAGAGCAGCAGCAGCAGCGAGTCGTTTGCTCTTTCAACTGTGACTCCGGTGCCAGAGTGTAGACGACGAAAACACGAACCCATTGCAATCTGTTCCGGTATTCATATTACTAACAATGCTTTTGAATGGGAAAATATTCTGAAAGCAACAACATTCATATATAGTCAATTTTGAGTGTGTTGAAACGCGGATTTATCGAAATGAAGAACGAATAAAACGAAAGAAGAACCGTGGAAGTAAAATTTTATACAGCAATGAATTTACAAAAAGAGATGTATTCAAAAAAAAAAAGGTATATTTTCCAATGATTTTGAACCACAGAAAGAAGAATGAGCATTGAAAAGCAAGGCCATTGTTTCACTCGCATAATACGTTCGTACTCAATATACAATAAAAAAAACTGCTGCAACGCATTTTGAACTTCCGAACGGCAGAGTTTTTTTTCGGTTCGTTTTGAATAGAGAGATTTTTGTCGCTATTGGAAAATTGATTGCACTTGAGCATAACGCGATGCCTTTAATTTTACTACTTCCCGCAATGGAACATTGTGTCACAGTTAAGCGAATGGAGTGGAGTGAAGTGAAATGAAAGCACAATAATTTGAATGACATAGTCTCTCCCTCTCTGAACACCAAAATGCATTCGGATATCGGATATTAAATTTCGAATCCGGTGCACATAATCAATGACCATACAACACACCTTCGGACATTACAATGAACAGATTCATAATCCATGAACGTACCACAGCAAAAACAACAGAGAAAGAAACACACATAGAGAGCAAACTTCCAAACTGAGTTGGGATGTACAGAAAAGAAAAAAACAATAGTTTCAATCGGGAAGTATATCGCAACGAAACAGTTTTTGTCATCGACAGTTTTCATTTTTGCATGGAAGCGATCGATCGCATTTTTATCGCCAGTGCTGAGGGCCATCAGAGTTGAGATTTTACAAATTAAGGATTTCCTTTAATCCATACGATGTGTTCGATTGTAAATTGTAGGTCCCATTGATCATAGCGAATTTTTTGTTTCTTTCATTAGTGCCAATCCAGTTTTTCAATTGAATTTTCATAAATTGCACGCTGCGAAAAAAGTGTGAAGTGAAAGAATTTTTTTTACTGTAGTTATGATAAACAAGATTATAGTTTTTTGTTCGGTTCAAGTGAAATAAGTTGATAAAAAAGCAGAAAATATGCGAGTTTATTTGTTCGATATATTACAAAACCAATTTTCTAACCGAGACACATACACACACCCATATACAAAAACGCTGCATTGAACTGGTCTATTGGTGGTTTTATTCTGGTTGCTCCCATTCTGATGACGCAAGGGCGCGTGCATAACCTAAGGGAAAAATCGTTGTCGTAGAGAATACTTCGTTCTTTCGTTCCATGTTCATGTTTATGTTTCATATACAAATTTCAACACTTTATTCATCGTAATCCGATTTCCACATCTAAAAAGAAATAAAGAACTGCACGGAAGTGGTGAATTTTCCTTCGTCTTCTTTCGATCGACTTAATGGAAAATAAACGTTCCGAAAATGTTGTGCCTTTGATGTGTTGGGAGTTTTTTTTTCGTCTTCTTCTTTGCAACGTCTACCATTCCCGATTACATGCGGTTTCTCTTCAATGAAAATATCAACAAAGTAATCGATTTTCGACAGAATCTATTACTCGTACAGAAAACCTTTTCACTATCTGGATATTATTTCTTGTCTTATCATGTAGTGCCTGAATGGGAATTTTCTGCTCGAGCTCGGCCATTCATTATGAAAAGAAAATCGACTCACTGCCTCTGCACCATGTTAAACTTCGACAAATTTCATTTGCAAAATATCAAAACTGGGTTTAAATTTCGAAGTGAAGCAGAAGAAAAAAAAAACTAAGAAGAAACTAACAAAAGCATCTTGTATTCCAATCAAAGTGTTTTTGAGACGGTTTTTTTTTTCTTCAATCAAGCAATTCGTTCCGGAATGCATTAGCATATGAGATGAGAATGGGAATGGGAATGGGATTGTCTTGTGGCGTTTCTCGATGGCTTTTGTTGTATCCAAATCTATTCGGAATAATGGTGGTGTATCATAAAATCGTTTTCACTTTACATATTATGTTGTGTGGTGTAAAGACTAATATTTCACAATGTGAATGTATCGCTCGAGATACATTGTAAAACAAGGCAATGTGACAAAAGATATTCATCCCAGTTCATTTAAATCATAAAACAAACAACGTACATTTATTGTATTGAAATAATAATAGTTGCACTATATTGTATGTAACATCCCCACACACTCACACAGAATTTGGCGTGCTGTGCAACGCGAGATGGTGTGTGTTGTGTGCTGTGTTTCGATTGTCATCCATTTGAAGATGATAAATTAACTAAAGAGTGTGATTTGTCATCTGACTTTATAATGTATGTTTTGCGTGCGTGTTGGCATCATGTACAGCAGCTATTAAGTTGGTTCCACAGTTGAATATATTCCAGCCGTTTGCACGAGTAAATGCCCGTTTCCTTGCCAACGACCTGTCATCGTACGTCTTCTTTTTCGCCAAGCCATTCTTTCTTCTTCTTCTTCTTCTGCTGTTGCGGCTGAAGTTCGCATCGATTCTTTTTTTTCGACACCTAATTGTGTATTCGTACCGTTTCAAGTGTGCTTAAGCCAAAGGCTTCACCATGATTATTCCACTGTAAATTCCCTCGATTGAGCGACATTCATTTGTAGCAAAATGACCACTTCTTTTGTTTCAATTCTAATTCTTGGGGATATTTGTACATGTTCACTTTGTTTTTTGTAACTGTGTTAATAATCAACAGTGAGAGCGTGGAGAGAAAGAGGAAAAAAAAGGTCTGGGCGAAAATTAAATCGGTAAGAGAACAGTCTATTGTGTATGAGCTGGCGTTGGAATTTTTAATTTGGTCCAGCATTCTCAAGAGACTCTTCTAAAGGCAAAATGGGCATTTCATATGACTTCTTTTCTCTTCTTTTTTCTCGTCGGAGAAAAGTATTTTCTCACCACTTGCCTCCATCGTCAGGCTCTTATCTGCACAGCATTTTGCTGAGCGTTCTATTTATGGCCACGTTGAATGAAATGTTGTTCGTTCTTTCCATTTGACAATAGAACACTTTAAGAGCGCATGTGAATGACCGGATGTTTGCAATTAAAATACTGATGACTATGTTTCGTTCTTTATTTTCGGTGTTATTTCTGTGATGCTATACGCATACTATGAATGGAAATAAAAGGTCAAATTATAATTCAAATGAAAATGAACCCATGTTAAATAATAATGACAGTCTATTAATTGATGAATGTTTTTGCACAATCAAATGAAGAGAAAAGATGAAGAAAAAAAACACGAACGACCAACAAAAAGCACATTATTAAATTATTGACGTCGACGTCGACGACGACGACGATGACGATGACGGTGGTGATGCCAAAATAAATGGTGCGAACGCAAGATAATAAAAACCAAGAAGACAAATGTGCGTTCCATTGCGATGCAATTCAATTCTCATTTTCATATACATAAATTTTGGAGTGTGCCTGTGCACAGGTACACAGCATCGGCTGTCACCTTGCGTGACTGGCGCACATTTTTTTCGTCTTTGCAAGTGTGTGCGTGCGAACAAATTGGATTTATTTGAACGCTATCGCTGTGAAAAAAAATCTTCATGTCTCAATTGTCGGTCGGTTACTGTAAGCCAGTTGAACCTGTCATTTGTGCGGCAATTCATTATTCACCATTTGAACTAGCCGTGCCAACACACACACACACACACACATACCGTGTACAGAAAAAATCATTTGCAAATGGAAATGTATCATTCAAACGGCCCGGCACTGTCGCTTCGAATGTGTATGTAGTGAATTACCGTTAATCGTAATGTCGATAGAGATAAATATAATTTGCCATCATCAGAGATGACATCGATGTCGATGTCGTAAGTAGCAAAAAAAAAGAACCAACAACACAACGCTACGATAAAAAAAGGTGTCAAATAGAATTCAATTTATTAGAAATGCAATAAGACATGCTCACATTTTTTTTTCTCATTCTATCGAACTGGAAGATGCTGTGCTTGATTCGAATATTTTTGTGGATTATATTCCACTATAAATTGATTCAAAAGATTAAATGTTATTGATTTTTTTCTTTATCTCTTGTTTGATTTTAGCTTTACCACCACACATGGCACTGTTATCGATCCAAGCAACGTCACCCGAGCGACGGTTCACGCAAAAAGAAATAATCGCCGGTGAGGAACGACCAAAATATTTGCTCATCAAACAGCATCAAGACTCTGTTTCATCCGGATCAAGTGTCACATCTGCAGGTATTTATGCACGTCATTACGCATACACACCTACGGAACGTTCTTTTTTTTGTTCTTTCTTCTTCTATTTTCGGTTCTCTCTTTCTCTATGACATTTTATATTGGTTTCTTTTTTTCCGCCCGTGTCAAATTGAGTCATGAGCATTTCGACATGCAAACAAAACATGTTACAATCACACAAAATGGTTGACCCGACGAACGATGATTTTTGCCAATATAATTATAATTTAATTAGAGCGTATATAGTAATCCACAAGTGAATATTGGCCTCTTTTATCCACTGATTGGCAAAAATAATAAGTATCAAAGTTAGACCACCGAAATACACCCATTGATACACACATTCAAACACAAACACAGCCAAATTTATCAGTGATTATATGGTTTTTCAATTGTAAAATTTAAGGGCAAAGCCCTTACTGTGCGGTACTGTCCAATTACATTATTATGAGTTCGTTGCTTTATGTGTGCAGTATTTTATTGGCGTTTATATTGTTTTTGTGTTCAAGCGCAATCAATTAAAATTGATTGCGTTTTGCGTATATTGGCTAGCGTTTTGTATTTTCGTTGGTGGCGGTTTTTCGCGTGACCTCAGTGTTTGACACTGACGTTCGTCATCGTTGTGTCGTTTTTTTGGTTTGAATAATTTTCCAATGGGAATATTGTAATTGAAATTAAATAATTTTTCACTCGTTCACCCCACAACGAATAAGTGCCAAAAATAATTGATACCGAGGTCACGCGGAATAACCAACTACATGTTCCAAAAAATGTTTTGATTTCGATTTTTTTTTGTCTTTGTCTTTCTGTTGGTTTCGTTCGTGTTGAGTTTATTATTTTAGCAAAACCATTCAGAGAACTGCATATTGATGCCAATGCAACTATTGTTATGGCATATATTGAATGGCGGCAGCCAGTGAGTGAGAGAAACTTTGTATTCTCTCGTTTGGAATGGAATTTTCCACTGCTGTTGATGCTGTAAATTTTACGTCAAATTCAATTTTCGATGCATACATCAATACGCAGTTCCTGTTTCATATTAATGGCTCCGCCACAATATTTGGAGTTGAGAACTAGTCGAAAACACAGTTCAAAAGCAACATACACACATGCCACACACATACATATATACACACACACACACGTACACACACACACACGTACACAAACACACCAGATCCAAATTAGTTCAGTAAATATAAATGAGTATTTTGCATAAATTGAACAGAACGCATTAATACAAGTCTTCTGAGCCGTAATACGTATACTAGGCAAATATTGATAAAGTGTAATCAAGTGTAATTTGTTTTTGCATGTTATTGATTTGTTACGTGGATCCATTCTATAGCCCGTTCACGAAAGTGGGAACACTTTAAAACTCATAACAATTGCAGTATTAAACGTTTTCCAATTTTCACTCGACCACATTTTTTGTTTGATTTTCATTGTTGTTGTTTTGTTTCCACTGGCAAATGTAAATAGATGAAAATTTAGTTTTTCGAAATGTGTGTGGCCTTTGTTTCAACAAATGTATTTTTTCTGTCTTCTTCTTCTTTTTTACTCTTTTCTCTTTTTGTGACCGCCGAAATTTTGTTCGGGCTGCGAATTATCCACCACCACAACAAAAATGATGGGTATAAATTTTGTCTGTAACAACGTTACAACACCAAATCTCATCCAAATAAATAAATCCATACATACCATACACAAAATAAATCACCATCCATGAACCAAAAAAAAATCGTACATACACACGCAACCAAAATGTATAACCGATTTGTATTTTGAACAAATGCTTTTTCCCCATTTCGAACATCACAATGTGAAAAATATTTAAATGTTTTTTTTTTGTCTTTGTTTTTGTAAAATGGAAACTTGCCTCATGAAAATGGGAAATTTCGTTGAACATAATTTTATGTTTTTCAATTTGGCCTGATTGTATTTCCCGTTGCTATTTTTTGGTTCACGTTTGTGTAACCGTATTTTGTTTTTCTGGTTGAAAATTGTTGCGTATATTTGGTTTTCATTGTTGCTAAATTGTTTCGTTCATTTGCGATGCTTATAAATTGAAATTTGCTCGTAAACAAATATTATTTCTTTTTATATTGTAATTTGTCATTGTTGCTGGGGGAACCGAAATGAAAAAATAAAAATAAAATATACATACAGAAAAGAGTCGTTCGTCAAAAAAAAGCAATGAGCCAACGTTATGTGGTTGAGACAATCACAATGACAACAGTTACCGAACGACGTGTTCTGACCGAAGAGACTAACACAACCAATTCTATTATTATTGCACCGACAGCAGCTACAGCTACGGACACCAAAACAGACGATGTACAGAAATCAACGGCTGGAACAAACGAACCTCGTAGTACATATCTAAATTCAGATATTAGCTTGAAACCAACTAGCATCTCCGCACAAATCACGGGCATTCTCAAGGGTGGTAAATTATGGAAGAATGATACGGCACAGGTAAGGAACTTGCACTTCAATCACTTTGAATATCCATTAATTTAATTGGAATGAATAATTTCAGAGTGACGAAACCACATCGAGCGCCACATCAGACGATGAAATATCAAGACGTTCCGTGCGTTTCATTGATGGCGGCAATGCAAAAGGTAGTGAAAATTCAAGCGAACCAGATCAGGATGTTTGCGATGGTGAGTCTGGACTTGGAAGTAGCGAACAAAATGGTAGTGTAACCACAACGGAAACGGATGTTGATTCTGACTCAATGATGAAACAGTCAACACTGTTCCATAACTCATTGAGACCGAATTCGGCGGTGCGTCAATTATTCCCATCGGCTGTTTTAAATACAAATGCACAGCCAACACAAACATTAACTCACGAAGCCTTGCGGGCATTTGACGAGTCAAAACGTAGTCAGTTGAAATCGACCATTGTACACAGTGATTCCGAAACGGACACAATTCGACGCACAATCGAGCGAAATGCACTTCGACGATCGCTCATCAAGTATGAACCAAAGTAAGTCCGATTTATTGTTCTACCCTAAATATGATAGTTTTGATATTAAAACGGTTTTTATCTTTGTATTAGGAAAAAGGCAATAAAGCCAAACACAACGCTTGAAGAGCGCATTCGTATGTTGACTTGCGATGTGGACGAACCGCAAAATGAAAATGGGTCTGAAAATGGCAAACAGCTCGAACGACGAAGCAGTCCAACGGGCGAAGAGAATCCACAGCCACAAGTTACAAAATATGTGCCTGACAAAAGTTTCTCACCAATTTCAACGGCATCTAGTTCATCAGGTAGCTCAATTTCGGCCTATAAACGAATCACTGACATCTTCCACAAAGACAAACGCCACGAACGCATCCCAGAAGCTGATGAGAATCCAATTGTTATCATTCCACAGGTGAGTTGTGCACGGTGATTTTGGAATATATGTGAATATTTTAAAGCATCCACGTTCGAAATTTATCAAATTTGCATATTTTTCTCGCAGCAATTGCAACAGGATTGTCGATGTCCATCGGCTCCAGATCTTGGAATGGGCTCACATTTGCCAAATGCAAATAATCAATTGCAAGCGGTTCGGCCAAGCGATGCACGTAGACAGTTTTTGAGCACACTGGCTCCATTGACCGCATGTGTGGCTGGCCAAAGAGACGATATGTCATTCTATTCATTAGCTACGGGTGACCGCAATTCAACTGGTAGCTCACGTTGTTCGGAGTATAGCATAGGTGATATCGATGCAATTTTGCAAAATGATGATGCCAAAAAAGTGGCACCAGATGTTATTGCCGGCACACCTGGCCAAGAGCAACACGATGAGCTTGCTGCATTCGCACAGCAGGACGCTACACGAACTGAACGCATCAAGAAGCGTTACAATCAAGAAGCATCGGTTACAGCTTCGGTGCCCACATCGAACGCTGGTTCTGATGATGATGACGAACAAAATGATTACGGTTTCAATCATCGGCCATCGGTTCGTGGCATTAAGCCTCGATCGAACGAAGAGATGCTCGAAGAGATGCAAACACAACTATCTAGTGCTTCCGTTACAAAACCACCGCCGGTAAGACAATTTCCATGTGGTTTTAAGGGACAAACGCCGAAAAATTTTCAATTTTCAATAAATATAAATAATATTTTTCGTCCACAGTTACTTCCCCGTAAGAGTGGTCAGTCAAATACATTGCCAAAAGCAAGTACTCAATCGCTTCAATCGAAATTGATTAGTCAAGTACAACAGCACCAGCAGCAGCAGCAGCAACAACAACAGCAGCAGCAGCAACAACAGGCTCAAACACAACAACAAATCGCTAGCATCGTGCATCAGCAGAATATTTCAACATGGAACGCGTATTATCAGGAGCAAGCACAACGAAATAGTTTGCCAGCTAATACTCCGGCTACTTACTTCCAACACTTACCGATTGCAGCTCGTCACAGTTTTCATCAAGAGGAATCGACCATCTATCAAAATTGCCAGGGAGTCGCAATGGAACAACACTACGGGCAAACAATCGCAGCTCGAAGTCCAACACGACGACCCGAATCGCCACCACCACTGCGAAACTATCATCAGACAATGGTATTAATTCCGTATAACACAGACACATACGCACATTTTGCTACAGCAGATCAAATTGCCGCACAACAATTTGCCCAACACCAAAACATTTTAGAATATCAACAGGTGAAAATTAGTTCATCCAAAATTGGCGACGTGTTAAATGACAGTTGAGATTTTAATACGTTTTCTCTCTCTCTCTCTCTCTCTCTCTCTCTCTCTTTCGCTATTTCTATTTAAAGGTGACGCAACAAACGATCCGTGTACCGATCGGGTATCCATTGCCTGGAATGCAATTGCACGTTGTGACTGGAAATGCAAATCAGCCAGGCTATGCTCAATATGCGACTACGACACGGCAACAAACTCAATTGAACGCAGCCACTCGACCAACCTACGGATATATTCAGGAGAATCAAGTGCCAGCTGCCGTTAAGTACACGGAACGCGGTGCACCCGAAGGACAAGCAGCAAGCGTCTCACAGTCCGATTGCTCATTGATACCAGCTGTACCAAGTAGTATGGCCGCCAATACTCCGGTCACATCAACTGCAAACAGTACACAAACCTCTAATACATCGACCACAGCCCAACAGGGGGCTGTTTTCTATGCCATGAATGTTTGATCCAAGATTTAGGAAAAGTTGATCATTTTTAGGCGGTAGAAGAGCAAGAAATAATCGAACGTCTTACTTACTTTTATATGGAGTTTCCAAAAGCTAGTGCCAAAAACAAAAATAAACAGAAGCAAACTCATTTGATTTGCACACAATTCACACGAGTTGAAATGATGTAGTGACGAGATTTTTTTTTTGTGGCATATGTACCGTGACAACAGTTTTAAGGATAGTTTTTTTTAAAGATCGAACGAATTGATTAGTAGCATTTGAAGCAGAATTTTCATAGAACAACAGACTAGATTTGTTTTTACGAGCTTAACTCAAATTCGAACGAGAAATCAATTTGCTCGATTCAATCATTGATCATGGCATGTATTTGAAGAAGAAAGAACACATACACAATAGCCTATGTAAAGTATTCAATAATCGCGAGAAGATCTGTATCACATTTTAGTTTGTAAATGTGTCATCGTTTATTCATTTTATGGAAATCAAAGCCAAAACCTAAAACACTGTTTTATTTTATCAATAAAAAAAAGAGAAATGATTGGAAATATCAAGGTATTGTATTGAGTAGACGAATCAATGACCGGCAAACAAGATAGATTTTGTTCGATTTAACGAAATTCTGGTCACTACTAAAATAGCTTCAGCATCTTTTGAGTATGACAAAAATAAATGGAATGGTGGATGCCAAAGTTGGGAGCAAACGTGCCAATTAGGCTATATTTCGATGAAACGATATGTATAATGGCGATATGAAAGAAATGTAATTTCCTTTAGAAAAATCAATCTCTCTCAAAATGATATCCCTTGCTTCGGAAGCTTCTTGTGAGTTTTGCACATACATCGCTTCCCTCCAACTATTCATTCACTGGAGATTTATTGGCTTAGTAAGCCAAACTTAATTTACTCTATGCTTTGCGCAATAGACAAAGTCAGATGTAAATTATTATCGAATTTGGCGATTCAAATTTCGAACATCACAACTCTTTGAAATCTCCTTACTTTAAGCCCTATTCACAATTCAATTTAAACCGAATTTTTTGAGAAACAAACATTTAAAAATATTATTGTTACGTTTAATGGAGAGAAAAAAAAATATTTTATCAAATTTATTGGCACATAATGAAATTCGCGAGAAAATTGACGTGAAAAAATGTCAAATTTTTCTTTTTGTCAAATTCGTTGCTAAATTCATATCGCAATTTGTGTTGTCCCCCCCCAATTCCTATAGATATTGAGCATTAAGTTTAATCGTTATTTGAAGACTTGAAATGAAATGACACCACAAAACACTTCGAAGCGAGACATCAATATCATTCTGAGGCTAGAACATACCAAAACATTCATTTGTTTCGTATTTGCATTGTATTTTTGGAACTCAAGCACATATACACACACACACACACACACACAACGTATAAAAACACATACACAGAAACAAAAATGGTATATTTTATTCTAATATCCTATCTAATGATAAATGTTTAGGTTTTCTGTTGTCGCTAGGATCTCAAAAATTAAAGCTAATTTATTGTTATTTGTAGCGTTCAAGTCCTCATGTGCGACCCAGCAGAAAGAGAAAAAAACTGGCGGGAAGTATATATACATGAATCAGAATATATTGTATTAATAAGAAGAAGTGAAGATCGAAAGTAAACCCAATTCGAAAACTATATATTGAAAACAAAAAACTATTATATTGTTTGTTGATATAAAATAAAAGAAAAAAAAACTAACTTGACATAAAGAGACAAAAAAAAAGACAATTTAGAATAGAAAGTATATAAAGGGAAAACACACAACTAGATCTAGTAATTAATTCTATTTTTTTGTGAAACATTTAAAAATGAAAGAATACAATAACAACAATTCATGAATGAATTGAATATTATAAATTAAGATTCACTCAAAGTACTTAAACTTTAAAATAAAATAAACACTGCTAAGCATGTAATGGCAGAGATAAGAAAAAAAGCAGATAGAAAGGAAAATAACAAAGCAAACAATGGATAACTACGTATTTATAGAATTTATTAGAAGTGGAAAGCAAAAATTTAGGACAAATTTGAGATATTCCGAATATGAATGGATGAAGCAAAATAAACAAATACACACACACACACGAATCATATATTACACTCAATCTTAACATTAGACGAGCGTCGGCGGCCTGCATAAACATGAGGCAGCTGAGCATTGACACGAAAAGTGAAAGAACATAATGTACTTTTTAAATTTATGTAAAATTGATTTTAGCAAAGCCAAACATTGATTGATTCAATAAATGACAAATGATACATATTTTTGTATTTTATTTCATCTAAAATTTTAGAGAGAAAATTTCGTACTCAATTGGGCTCATCTTATCTAGATAAAGTCATATCAAGGTCATGGTAAGTGTAGCCTGAAATGGAAAATCCAGTCTTTCTTATTGCAAAAACTCGGTTTGAATGTGTTTTCGATTTTGTTTTGTATTTGTGTCTACCTAAATCTCATGTAATTCAAAACATTTTCTTCTAATTTTTTTTTTTTTTTTTTTTTGGCGAAGCGATACATTCTCAATGTTCATAAAATGCATCTTAAGTTTTGCATAAAGCTGAATCAAGCTACGTGAATGGTTTCATGTACAATGCATCGTTTGCGATATCGATATCGGAATCAAGATACGGTGATTTGCATCAAGAACTGATTGCCTATGCATCGTTGCAGCGGAAATGAATGAAACCCCAAATTTGCATGGCAAAATGAGTGGCAAAATGGCTGCATATTTCGCTTTACATTCGATACAAATTGCACAGTACACGTACGCTTATTATCATCCAAAATGCAAGCCATTGCTTCCGAATAAGAAAGAGTGTCATAACATCAATAGCGTCGGATCAATGGAGTGAATTATACTCACATCACGTGTACCGATTAAATATTAAAATGATGTTGTGTGCATGCATATATGCGTTTAATTCTCGCAGTTGATTCAATGTGGGAAAAAACAAATTGTAAGCGGTTATGTGCTCATCTGACAGACAGAGAAAGAGAGAGTACAAAATCAAGACGAAGTAAGCATATTTTTTTCTTCGCTCGTGTTGTACAGCCGGTCACGTTGTATAGTACGTGTTCTACTGCTGATATGTTATAGCAACCTTTCCAGGGTTTCAATTTCAACATAACTTTTCTATACCTCTCTTCTGTTTACATTCGTGTGTGTGTGTGTGAAAGTTTTCAATTAAACTTCTGTCGTTTTTGTTTTCTCTCTTAAAAGAAATTCTTAGTGGAAAGAACCAGATTGGTTTTAAATAACTTAAAATGAACTACTTGTTGCATACTTCAAAATAACATCCACCAAAAAAATCAATCGATTAAGTCTGCAATCGAAACGCAGAAAAAACGGTCGTGCTGGATTCGGTCGGTGGTTCGGTGGTGTTCGCAACACGGCGCCGCTTTTTGCTCACATTATCCACGTTGATTGTCAAATGCATGGCGTTCCTTCGCGGCTTAGCGGGCAATTCGATAGCAATGATATTGTATTTCACGTTGAATCAGTTATACTCCAACAGCTATGCCGAACGGACGTTCCAAGTATACGTTATTGTATATTGAGTTAGAAAAAAACGACTTATTCAGTTCTTACTTGAGATTTAAACTGGAAACAAAGTGGAACAAATGATTAAAGATTTCAAAATTCTTAAATTATACATATTGTGAAGAGCGAAAGCGAAATTTGCTTGAATTGCATTGAGTTCTTTTTTTGTGAATAAAATCAAAGAAAACAGTTGAAAAATATTGGAATTTTGGACAACCGTCGATTTCAAAGTCTTCTTAATTGATACATGGACTCATTTTCGCGAAATTTTTGTGTTTTTTTTTTTCGACGAGGTGGTCAAAGTGCGTTATATCCAATGCAATTTGCATTTAATTATGAATAAATCGAGCTTTACATGAAAAAATAAAATTAATATCGACGCAAGCAAAAGACCGTATTTGAATTGTGAATTTTAGTGAATTTCGGCGGCTTTTCAATGAATCCAATTTTCGTTGGTTAATTTTTTCCCTAAATTAATTGAACTATATTATTGTGAATAACGCGAATAATTTCATGTTAAAAATTTACAGCAAAAAAAGTTTGCCCAAAATCAACGAGCAAGCAATGCTATTAGTGGAAATTACCCAATAAATAACGAAATTGGCCACGGATTAAAATGTATTGTATGGCATTGTGTCGATTTTAAATACCAATGAACCAAACACGTGTCGATTATTTCGATTTAATAAGAACGTTGCATTTATATTGATTTATCATCATTTTTTGACGCCTTGACGGATCAACGAGTTCCATCTAATTGATTTTCGCCCAAGTGTTATTTCAAGTGTTATACAAGCTTAAGCCATTCAGTAAGTTTTATAGCCGAACAAAAGCGGCCGAACTAAATTTGAACCAGAATAAAAACTATATTCAGTGCTCTTCGTCTAAATTAATTTCAAGGTGAGAAAATCATTTTAGTGACAAATTCTAACCAATTAGAAGTTAAGATCTTGTTTTAAGCACAGAGAATATTATTGATGGCCCAAGTAATTGTTTTTTTTTTGTAAAATATCCAGTTGACCACATTTCAACATCGTGATCAAATGAAAAATGTTCATGGGAAATTATAAGCTCTTTAATGTAAATAATCGCATAATTATTTCACTATAATCTCTCCACGTGCACATTATTACGAGTGTGTAATACTTATTGCCATTCTTTTTGTAGTAATTCGTCTAGCTGTTGTGTTTGCTAGTCTGGTCGAATTGTATGGAATCCCAAATCAATATATTGTACACATGAAGACAACGGATGGGGCAACAACAACAACAACAACAACAGCGGAAAAAACGACGTTACAAATACGATGGACACATATTTTGTCTTTATTGTGTGTGTGCAATGTGCATGCACCCATAATATATTTCAAGTTGTTGTTAAGCTGTTGCGAAGTTGTGAAAACGAGCGGAAAGGGATAAGCCAATGCACGTTGTTGTAGGCTACAAAACAACGGCTCCCCACACTTTAGTCAAACCTCGTGATATAAGAATGACAACTTCGAAGAAAAACCAAACCAATTACGCTGTGTGTATTGAGGTTCAAAACACACTAGAAATTCGATTCCATGACATGGAAAAGTACAATGAACTGACGTGGAAGAAAAATCATTATTAAGTATTACAAATGAAATTGTATACCAAACGCTCTGACCGTCATTTTGCAAGTTCTCAAAATACTCTGGCATGGCAATTTAATGTAACGAAGAAAAAACGGTTTCAATGTGCGAGGATATCACATGCAAAATCACGAGGCAAAAAATGTGTGTGACATATTTTACTCGTTTTTTTCTTCTGTCGATTATAAAATGACAATGTGAGCAGAAAATGTGCACCACCGTTGTAAATCTGTTATATGACAGAATGAATAAGAAACGTTTTCCTCCCATAAGGCCCCCAATTTTCAAACCATTTTTGCGCAGTTTTTGTATTCTTTTGAATAATTTAAGTGTGAATATTCTATAATGTGAATTGTTATATATAGCACATTTCTGTGAAATTCTTCCAATAGAACAATGGAAGAAAGCACTGCGCCAACATCGACTACCAATGCCGTTGACACGGCACGTCCACAAGGCAGCACTCAACGATCGAATAGGTATGAACCCTTTCTAATTTAGTTCAATTTCAGAAGAAATTTATTTCTAGAAGTCATTGTATTTTCATCACGAGAACCTCAGATTTTCTAATAAGAATTGCCATTTCATTTATAACTAAAATCGTTACAATTGAATTGTTAATTAAAAAGTGATTGTTTTTATATAGTGAAAACTTGAACTTTCGTACAAGTGGCAGTAATTCATCGGGTAGCAGTGGCTACGGAGGCAAACAATCATCATTACCAACCGCTCAAAAGGATACTAAGTATGAACTTTTTCCTCATAATTTTGTGAAGTTCACGATAAATTTTCGAAGTTCACATGAGATAGTTATTCGTTTATTTTCCAAATTTTCCAGTAGAACGATGGAAGACAATGCGACCACGGCTTCAATATCAAATGCCGTTGACTCGGCATATTCCCAAAGTAACAGTCGATCATTAAGCAGGTAGAGGAGTTTTATTCTAGACCCAATCTTTTGACCATTTCAAAATTTTCCATTTTTATTCGCTAATTTAAAGTGAAAGCTCCCAATGTCGTATGCGAGGCAGTAATTCCAGTGGCAGCAGCGGATATGGTGGCAAACAAACGACAGCTATGTTGCAGGCTCAAGCAGAGAATAGGTAATTAATTAAATAGATTTGGTTATTTAAATCAAATAAGTCGAGTTAGACAATGGCAAAAAATTGTACGATGAATCATTACTAAGGCTAACAAAAATATTTATTTAAAAACGTCATTTTCGGCGTTTTTCATAGTTTTCACTTAAATGGTAAGAGATAAAGACGTGGTGTCTTCAGCAATGTTGTAGAGTTTGACAAGTTTTATAATTGTCTCCAAGACACATATTCCTTATTTCTTATCAATTCGACGAAAACCGCGAAAACTTAAAATTTCACGGTTTTTCGTGGTTTTTCTGGAATTGATAAGAGATAAGGAATATGTGTCTTCGAGACAATTATAGAGCTTGTCAAACTCTACAACATTGCTGAAGACACTACGTCTCTATCTCTTACCACTTAAGTGAAAACTATGAAAAACGCCGAAAATGACGTTTCAAAATAAATATTTTTGTTAGCCTTAAACATTACTATCAAATTACACTGGCTTGAAAGATGAAACCGGTGTCTGGCTACAGACGACAACGACCACGATGAATTGTAACTTGTTCCAAATGAAACAATTCCAGAAATATACAAACAGTTGACATTTAATAATAGACACACGCTTCGAAAATAATTGTAAACAACGAGTGTTCAACAATGTGATTACGGTGGCATGGAACAAAGGTGATGATTTATTTTTAGAATGAAAAAATGCATTGCAACTCAATCAACGTGTGGAAAATATTTGCAAAGCGATGACAAGCAAAAAAATGAAGAGAAAAACAACAATTCAAATTAGAAACAATTTTCCAGTTCTATTCAAAGCATTGCCAACAATAAAACCAAAGGAAATGTTCTACCATTAATGGTAGACAACATGCCAAACAAAAACAGAAAACTGAAAACCGATTCGCTGGAAAATCTGTTTTCATATTTTTATGTAAGCACACCGCACGCGTGTATCCACTTCGTTTGTTCCATCAATTCAACTTGATTATGAAACGTATTTAAGAAAAACGGTGTTCAGCGCAAATAACCTATGTCTATTTTAAGAAAAGAGCACCCTACGATTTGTGTGATATGAATACCGTTGGTATCGACACCGTGCTCGGGATTCTATCTCAAGCATTGTGTGTGTGTGTGTGTGTGTGTGTGTGCTATTTATTCGTTACGCTTACAAATGAATAAGAACTGAGCAAGACGAAGAGAGACTGAGAGAGAGAATTAACATGAGAAGACCACTTTGCTATTGCTATTATTTCCGTTGTTAGGGTAGTTTCGTGTAACACAAGATTGGTTATATAAATCAAACCATCCAGTGAATTTCTATTTCTTATATAAAAATCGATTTGCAATGCATTTCGGACGCCAATAAATCCGATATTCGACTATGACAATGCATTCATGTATGGCCGCATATTAATCAAATATCAAATTGTCAAACAATCGCTATTAAACGTCTGCACTTGATTTGCTTAATTTTGTATTTTTATTCAATGTGTCCAAAATTAAACCTGAAATTCGTTCGAGAAAGTAAAAGCTACATGTAAATTCTAAAACCAACCACATTCGATTGATCATGTATGATGAAAAACCCACATATCTGCCGTTCTATATTTAATTGCAATTGCAAACAATTGCAAATTCCTTGGAAATGTTCGTTGTAAAGGTCGGTTTAAATTTAAACTAGGTATTCATAGTTTCAGTACTTGTCAGTTTTCTATACTCTTACAATTAAAAGCATATCCCATGGTGTTTGCGTAAGCTTTTAATTGGTACGATTGAAACTAAATTGAACAAATATAGCTTCGAACACAAAATAGAATACAAATCCATTGGAAATGAAACCACCATCACGATGTAGTCTCATGACAAGAAGAATATTACGACGAATGTCTTCTCATAAATTTGGGGAGAAAACGCAATTGAAATGGCACGTGTTACCACTGTCGCGTGTTACCAATGTTTCGATTTGATCATTATTTACGACGTAATTTATAGACGATTCGTACTCCGTATGCCCCAAGTATTCATTCGTATTTGGTATGCCCTTGATTACTCGACTTTCCAAATATGACATCAAATTACCAAAATTTCCACACTCTAATACTTTCAAACGTATTCATTGCATTTCGTTTAGTGCGAGTAGTGGCAACAGTGCCGAGCTGACAACTACCAAAGATTTAAAACGGAGCAAAAATAAAGGGCGAATGAAGAAATCCAAAACGAAGCAATCACAAAATCGATCCAACGACGCAACGGCAACAACGCTTGTTCAAGAGACAAAATCACAAGAAATCAAACCGATAAACAACAAATCGATCACACCAACACAAGAGGAACAAACAACTTTGGCAACGGACACAATCACTCTGGAAGACGTGTCAACCAATGCTGAAATAAAAATCAATCGAATCGTTGAGAGTATTCCGGATAAACAAGCAGCGGGTAAATGCTCATAATTTGATTTGTCGTTTGTGTTGAACAAACGGGCTTGTGTAACAATTTCAATTAATTTATTTCTGTATTTTGCATTTTATTCCGATTTTGGTATGGTAATAGAAAGTGAAACTTTACAAAAGGTAAGCATAATCGAAATTATATTTTGTTTCCGCTCAATATATGGATGAAACCCATTTCTAATAAAAATGGTCATTCACAGGATATTCCAAGTGATACTAAGCCGATTCATGAACATAATGCCATTCCGTTGAGTTCAACTGAGTCGATGAAAGATAAAACAGATTCACATTTGGATGAAAGTTCGGCAACTGATAAGCCTGGGTCCGATGATTTGGAAGTGGACAACATTTTGTCGCATTCAAAAGTCGAGCAACAAACTGCCGAACATCGTACTAATCTGAATGTAAGTTGCATTGTCGGTTGGTTGTCATTTAAGCACATTTAAATTGGATCCAAATGTGATCCAATCCAATAAATGTTGGAAACAAAATCCGTTGATTTCTTCTGCGCACGTTGAACGGCAATAATATTTGTGGCTTTGCATTGAAGGCCACGTGATTATGTGATTTGTGTGAATTTTACCGAATGCCGAAACACAATAACAATGTAGGAGGCGTTCAGCCTAATATCAGAACATATGAATTTTATCAACATTTTTTTTTAATTATCCTTTTGAAAGAAAAAAAAAACACGGCCTGGAGAACACAAAGTCTCGTTTGACTAATCCAATTATCCAACAAAACTCTTATATAAGTTGGAAAACAAGCGTTTTAGATCACTGCCATATCCTAAGACCTAAGTTGAATGCAGAAAAATGTGGCCTTTATATAATATACAATGTATATGTATATTATACATATTATATTTTCACTTCACACCCCCCTCCCCAATGGGGGGGAAGCATTCGAAAATTGAACCAAGAGAGCAAGCGAAAAAAATAATCTGAACGATAATAATGATTTTCAATGGCTTCCCACAACTTACATAAACCATTTTTGTTCAATTGCAGCAAGAAAGTTTTTGCTGTGCAATTTCAATGCACGATGGCGTCATACTGTCCACAACAGCAAATCTCACCGACAGTCTCGGCTTCCCAAAGGTAAGCATAATCGAAAGTATATTTTGTTTCTGCTCAATATATCCATAAAACCCATTTCTAATAAAAAAAAATGGTCATTCACAGGATATGTGGCTTGGACGGGCATTCATCGATTTTGTTCATCCAAAAGATCGGTAGGTTTGAATAAAAAAATATTAGTTTGATGAAGAAAATTCTGAAAAAAGCGAATAAACCCGAATCGCCAATGTTGACCAATGAAAAAAAAAATTACCAATTTTAGACCAACATTCGCGAGTCAAATAACATCCGGCTATATCGATCACATTTCATTGAAAGAGGACTATTTACGGCAAAGTAACTTCGAGAAAACACCACTATATGTGCTATTGAGATGCTATCGCAGCTTCGATGCCTGTGGATTTGCTGTAAAGAACAAGCCCATCTCTTACAAACCGTTCAAGCTGATTTTTCGAAAAGCGCCTCAAATGCCGGGATATTCCGCCTCCCCACCAAATGGTGACAGTGCCCTGCGTATTATTTGTGCCATTGCACTATCTAGCATCTATAAAGGTTTGTACCATTGCCATTTGATTACTTGGAGAAAAATCTTCACTATTTTGACAATAAATTATGTAAATCATTTAATTGTGGAAACATCTTGTAGTTCCTGACGAAGCCATGAAAAAACAGAATGCAAAATTCACGACGCGACATACAGCCGCCGGAATTTTAGTTCACATTGATGGTACATCTGTATCAGCGATTGGTTACATGCCTCAAGATATTATTGGCAAATCAATATTGGATTTATTTCATCCAGACGATATGATAATATTGAAAACGGCCTCCGAATTACTTATGAAAAATACACAAGTGGCCGATGGTCGCGTATCAACGCCACCATATCGATTTCTCATCAAAAATGGCTGCTACATCACGTTGGAAACAAAGTGGACGAGGGTTTTTAATCCATGGTCACGAAAACTTGAGTTTGTAAATGGAGATCATTGCATTCTAAAAGGTAATTACAATCATTGTCCAGTAAGTCCAATGCTACAAGCAATAGTTATGAGAAATTTCTTATGTAATCAATGAACCTACGCAAAAGCATCATTTTAATTCTGGAGGCAATACAACAAAACCGAATCATTATAATCTTCTTTATTTCGATAGGGCCCAATCAATGCGATATTTTTGCGAAGACAGGGAAGTTCGCTTGCAATTTTCCGAATGTTATTTTGGAAAAAGCAGCCATACTAAAAAATGAACTACTAAAATCGCTGTCAGAGCCGGTACCATATCCCAGCGATAGTGTAAAGCAGCAGGTGTCGAAGCGTTGTCAAGCGTTAGCTTCATTCATGGAGAGTCTGTTGGCTGGAGTCAAACGACAGGAATTGAAATTAGATTGGTTGTCGGAATGTGAACCGGCTGCGTCTGAGCATGGATCGGTAATGCTTGGCGAAATATCGCCACATCATCACAGTAATCATGATGACAGTAAGAGTTCATCAGAAACACCACCGACCTACAATCAACTCAACTACTTTGAAAATTTGAATCGTTTTTTTAACAGCGTTCAGCCGACATTCGTACCGAATGAGTTTAAATCGTTATCGTATCAGATTGATCATGTGCCAACGAATGATAAGGATCGAATGCTCAGTCCAATTCAGCAGTGTGGCGAAGAGAGTGGTGGATCATTCAATTCAAGCAGCGACAGTCCCCAGTTTGAGAGCACAAATACGAGCAACACAAGCAACAATGGAAACCCAAATAAAAAGAATTTAGTGCTGACCGAGGCACTTGTCTCACGCCATACAGACGATATGGAACTGCAAATGGTGAAAAATCACAAAAAGTATCGCACCCGTATCAGCGACAAGAAAAAGGCGCCCGACAAAGGACATAATCAAACGTCACGAAATCAACCGATGAAACGTAGTAGGCCAAACGAGTTGGGAGGGAATGAATTGGGTAAGGATACAAATTCACACAATCAGAATGAACACCGATACGCGTCGAATGTGGCAGATAGTGCACAAATCAATAAATCAACTGCACAAACTGAAACAAAGAAAACCAATAATGAAGGTCGGCCCAGCACAAATCATGCAATGGGGCAGAACAGCAAAGTGCAAGCAGTCCATTTGTGGCCGCCGTTTTCGGTGAACGCCACAACGACTCAGGATAACATTCCGACCAACACGATTCCGAATAGCATTAATCAGTTTCTACTTTCGAAGCATCTGTCTACGCCGATACTATCGACACCGCAATACTACGTATCGCCCGTAAACCCGAATGGCATTTTGAAAATAGATCAGGTAAATGAAAGACAAGTGGTGGTGGTTACCGTTGTCTTCAAATCAAAAGGTTTTATTAAATGTTTTTCTTTTTTTTCATCGTTAGAAACTGAGTGACCACTCGCCAAAAGTTATAAATACTCCACCGAACGGGGGAGCTACCGGAAATCCTTCCAATCCGTACACTCTTCAATACATCAAAAGTTTGATGAGTCAACCTCAACAGTTTCTCAGTCAGAATATGATTTATCCATATCAACCGTTGACGTATCAACCGTTGCCAATGATCCAACAAGTACGTATTTTCGCCATTCTATTGTATAAGGGGGTTTCATTCTCCATTGAATAAGTATTCCGTTTGTAGATATTTTTTAATCAAAATATTTTTTTATTCGATGCGTGTGTTTGATCTAATCAAAATCATTCGGTCGAGCTTTATTTATATTCTTGTAGAAAACGGTCACTACCGCACAGGCTAGCGGAGCAACAAATGTTTCGCTAGAAATGCCATCAACATCACAGCAAGCCATTCGGAAAATGGCATCCGATCAACTGTCAAACATGGCAAGTATTTATATAGCTTGTTTTAAATTGAACATTTGTGTCAATTGTATGAGCATCGGTCATTTCAATTGTTTTCGCTTCATTCGATCTGCGCATGTCTTATTATTTCATAATTTTATTGATGGAAAATAGGTTTTATATGGCAATATTGACAACGCAGAACCAGTTAATTTATCGACCACTGCTAACGTGACTGTTGCGAAATTGAAGGTGAAACCATGGGCAAAGGTAAATACAGTGAATATTTCATTTTCAATTTTGTTCTTGAATGTACGCATATTTCCAATTCAAAAATGTTTACTTGCAATTTTCAGATGAAGGAGGACAGTGACGAAATAGATGCTTCCAATTCGAGTTTTAGTTCGAGTTTTTTCGATTCACAACTGCGTACCGATGAGTCATGGGAATCGGACAAAACAACATCAAGGGTAATTTAATAGATGCAGTCCTTTAATGACTTATTATTGCAAAACCTTTCAAACAGGATGACACGATGGGCGACAACGAGTCAAATGCTTCGGCTCAAGGAGTGAAGAAACGTGGTAAAATTCCATATTGGATGAAAAACGTGGATTCAACACCAGAACTCGTACTGCGATATCAACTGAAGACCAGAGAGCTTGAAGACGCACTCCAAGCCGATTTACGAGTTTTGAGAGAAATTAATCAGGTATAACAATTGAATGATTTTATTTTCAACAATTAAAGACTTTTGATTAAACCCATTATCTTATCAATTGATACACAAGTTAAGTAATATAAAGACTCAAATATTTGTAACTCTCAAGAGTTTTAATAAAAAACTTCATTTGAATTGATAAAATATCTTCTTTTCGAATATATAGCCTGGCATGGTGAACGAGCAGCTGAATCAACTCTATTTTGAGTTAGATTCCGAGAATCAAGGTAAATCGGCCCATATATCGCTTGGCAATACACCAAGCAATAGTAGCGAAGACGAAGAAAATATGTCGAAAAAGAAGAAAAATACTCATTACAGTAAACTGAGTATGATATATGAAGAAAATGCTCCAGTTCAACCACCCGTTGAGATGTGAATTGGATAGGTGGTACACAAGCGCATCAACTATTCATATTTCATAACCATTTATTTTTTTAAGAAACAAAAAATTGGTATACTGTTTATATTAAGCATAATTTAGTATAGAGAATAGACCCATCGAAATATTCTAACCACAACAAGTATTGCTTAGATCATTTACATCATCTTCCATGTTTATATATAATATTTGATTGATTCTGAAAATTTCATTCGCGGAATCTCGTTTTTCATTGTGAAATGTTCCAAACGTATGGAGAAAATTCAAAGTTATTCTACTTTGCTTTCGATTTTCTTCGCATATTTTCCATTATTATCGAACATTTATTACACATTTTGTTGATCATATCCAGCCCAGTATCCAGCATACTTTTAAATGAAACATACAAAATGTTAGTGCTATTGTTTAAATTTTAGAATACTTTAATTTTTAAATATTTATTGATGTTATTGAATGTATGACATGATATATAAAAAGGATTATATGTTAATCATTTGCTTTTTTTTTAAAGGGAGAAAGATTGTCGCGATGAAAATATTGTATGGATAAATTGGCACGACATTGGAAATTTAAAGAAACAAACATATATGGTTTCGTTTATTTAAATAAGAATGAAGACTTTTTTATGGAATTCAATTCATCCAATTATATTTTTGTGAATAAATAAAATTATAACAATAAAGGGCAGTTTAGTTTTTAAATATTTCATTTTATTTATTTATTTATTATATTCATGTTCTCTATTTATTTTACCAGAATAAATAAACACTCATAAAATCAACCGTCAATGTTTTTTCCTTTAATTTTTGGAACTAAAAAAGTAGACAGTCAAAGAAGTAAGTAAGTTAAAGTTTTGATGAACCCTGCACAACGAATGACTACTGACTTTGACAGATGCTGAACTGTCAATTTTAGCGCATTTTTCTTCTTCATTTGTGTCGTATACAAACAGACGGTTGGAATATTACACCCGAAAGAAAAAAGAAACAAAATATGAACAGAAAAATATGGCAAAAATTAAAGTGTTCGCAGAGTGAATTGCAGCTGAAGGTATCACTAACTGGTGGCCAATCTTTCAGGTTTGTTCGTATGTACATAGTTTCAACAAGCCGCAATTTCGATATAGCTATTGGTTCTAGATGGAAAATTGGCAGTTTGCCCGAAGACAACTTTATCGATGAGTCTTACATTGGCGTGATGGGCAATTGTGTTTGGCAGTTCCGACAAACCGAAAATGATTTATTGTATCGCGTTTTGGGTGAGCTGAAGAATGACTCGTCAAATTACTACAATCAAGTGCGAATGAAAATCTCAATTCCAACCGTTGTCGATAAAAAGAAGAGTAAGAAAAAAACTAGTGTCATGGACGACACAAAACTTTTCCACAGTCTTGATTACTATGAATCTCTGTTGCGGGCATATTTTCGATTTGATGTCAATCTGAGTGAATGCTATGCCGAATGGTCAAAACATCCACATTTCAAAACCGAATCCGACAAATTTTACGCCATTCGTGTACTCGATCAAGACCCAGTTGAGAATCTGTTCTCATTCATCTGCAGCCAGAATAATCACATTTCACGGTAACTAAATTCCCATTTTTTATTTCCAATTCTGAATTTACCATTCATTGCTTCTGCCAACAGTATTTCGAGCCTGGTTGAAAAGTTGTGCAAGAATTATGGGCCAAAAATCTGTGATTTGAATGGAGTTGCTTATCATGCATTTCCAAACTTTGATGAGTTGATGGATGCTAAGGTAAGTAGTGTCTTCTACCATTGTTTCATGAAATATCAGAGGATTCAAGACGATCCCATTCTAGGTAGAGCAAGAGCTTCGCAATGAATCATTTGGCTACCGTGCAAAGTTCATTCAACGAGCGGCTGTAGAAATCAACGATAAAGGTGGCTTGGATTGGTTTCAGAAGGTGCAAAATATGTCTTATAAAGATGCGCACGCCGAACTTGTCACATTGACTGGAATCGGACCGAAGGTATTTCAAAGTGCTTACATCCACTTTTAATTGGATTTTTTTTTTCATCGAAAATGTGATTGATTTTAGGTGGCCGATTGCATTTGTCTGATGTCACTGAACCACCTTGAAGCCATTCCGGTTGATACTCATGTTCTAAAACTTGCCACCGAACATTATTTGCCCAAAGGCCGTGAAATCAAATCGATGACACCGAAATTGTACAATGAAATCGGTGATGCCTTTCGTCAAGTGTACGGTCCACTTTCAGGATGGGCACAGACAGTGCTGTTTTGCGCTGATTTAGTCAAATTCAAAGAGGGTAAATCAAAAGAAAATGGAGCAAAGAAAAAGAGAAAGAAATAGTCAAAAAATGTGTTGCCACATTTAGTTTTATTCATTTCAGCGATGAAACAAATCAAAAGATTTTCAAATAAATCGTTGTCGCTAAGCGACACAAAGTTAATTTGCTGGTTTCGAAACACGAGAGTTTGTATTCAGTTGGTTGATCATTTCAGTTGTAAGCGGTGGAATATAATTACGCGGAATAAGAAACGTTGACAAGTTGAAAAGATCCAAGAACACCTTGTAGCGATCGCTGAAATTTCGGAAATGACATTCAAATTAGATTTTTTTTCTACTTTTTACGAAAAAAAACTTGCTCTCAATCCCACCTTAAAGTTGAACGTAAGTATTGATAACCCGATGAGCCGCCCGTACCAAGCTGCTGCGAACCAATCATTCTTTGTACCATCATCACGTGACTGTCTGTTGAAATGGTAACAATTCAAAGTGGGTCAACAATGATCAGAAAACCAGAATAAAAATACACACTTACATCGCCATTTCGTCATAAAACTATCTATATCCATGAGACAAGTGAGCACTTGATGCGGTTGACTGAATCTTGGCTCGTCACGATACAGGGTGATCATAATGGCGCCTTGCATTGCTTTGTACGAGAATTTACGTTCGCCACGTGAAACGAGCGCTTCATGAGCATCTTGATTGAAAATCGTATGATAAACGTCACGCCGTTTATTGACATCCATCAAACGATAATTGCGAACAAATTCATCGGACAGGGCCTGTTCAAACGAAAGCGATTAGCTTAGACGAAAAACTTGATATTTATATTGAACTCACTTTCGCTTTTGCCTCCTCTTGATCCAACAAATTGTAAACGTTAGTCTTGAATTTGGCCCAAAAATTGAAACCATCCTCTTCCAATCCAGGTGTTCGTTCCAACCATTTTTGAACCAAATCACATAGCGATGGTTCCGTTTCCGAAGCAATGATCTTTTCCACCGCCGTGGAATCATCACCAAACACATCTTGATAGCGTTGATTGTACTTGACCCGATTTTCTTGCTTCACACCCAATTTATTTTCCATCAGACGAAACTGAAGACTCTGAAATCCCGATGCGGGCGATAAAAAATCACGAAAGTCCATAAAATCTAACGGTGTCATTGTCTCAAGAATTGGAATGTGATCCACAAGCAACTGAAAGTAAAACAATTTCCACTTTTATCGATTGTAATTTGAGTAATTTATAGAAATGTGCTGCTAAAAATTAGATTAGAAATTCAATGTTCCTGTGTCACGTGCATATATACGGCTTCATTTACTTCGTTTATTTGCTTCTTCTTCAAAACGGAACAGAATTGATAAGAACACACTTTCAATGGGCCGTGGCCGCATGTTTACTGCAAATTGGCGCCAAACCATTCGAAAACCTGTCGGAATTTTCTAGCCATAACCGCAAAGTCTTAAACCACAACAACCATTCGAATCAATTTGTAATTCACTTGTACACCAGCTACTGCATGTGTAACAATATAAGGTATTACGAGGGGCTTTGATCGTAGTCTTGTCATATCAAATTACTTTTTATTGATTTGGTCGTATAATCCCGTGTGAAAAAAAAATGACTGACTGACTATAACTTCAGTTGACTTTAGTTGATTGAATTTATATTTTTGTTCTAAGAAAATCACTTGGTCCCAAATGAAGCAACTTAGATTGACTTGTAACTTCAAATGATTTCAGTTAACTATGATAGACTTACACTACACTTTGTACTGAAATGTCAATCAAAGTAAGTCATTTTTGTCCCAAATTAGTTAACTGACTGCTCAGTTACTATTTTTTCACACGGGATAGCACAAAGAGACCGCAAGTTACGTATCACCTGGCAAAAGTTTGATTACAAGAATTGTGAATGGAATTTTAGTTTGAATTTACCTTGAGAATAATAGCAATTCTATTAAGTCGCTTTAAAATTTCCAGCGTACGAGATTCATCGACGGTAATCGTATTAAAGAGATCTCGAATCGAGTCAATTTCATAGATGATTTGCTTGAACCAAAGCTCATAAGCTGCACGAGAAAAAAAAAATGAATTTTATAAATTATTCTTTCAAAGTGAGTCATTTTGTGGTCGTTTCGATGGAATGGTCTTTGTTTGTTACCTTGATGAGTGATGATAAATAAATGTTCATCGTGGACAGGGCGATTGATCTCAGATGATTGCATACGCTGTGCATTGAGAACTTTGTCAAGCATCAAATAGTCGCTATAAAGCATACCCGTTTCGGTGCCCAGCACTTCACCCTTTTGGGCATCATCTCCATTTCTGTTCCGTAGGAGAAAAAAGCACACAATCACCAGAGATATTAAACTGTCAACAAAACGTCTGTCAAATTATGTGACTCGTCATTTGATTACAAAAGCAGTGCAAGGACAAATATTAAATGGAATTAGTGAAAAAACAATTCACAACAGATAATTCGCCTCATTTTATTTTATTGATTTGGCTAACACCAGTAAATGACCGAATAAAAAATATATTAAACGGCGGAAGCACACGATTCCAAATAACATTTGACCCGACACGTATTATCTTTCTACACAATTCCGTTTATGAGAAAGCACTATTATCAGTAAAAACTGTGAACAAAAGAAGGAATGAAACCTAACGTGAAATTCTGATACGGGCAACTCATTTTTTTTCACGTTCACGTTGGACGGTTTAAGAGTGACGCAAATCAATCTCGTGTAATTTATAGCTGAACGAAAAGAATCGTCTCTCCTCGTTGCGATCTCGGAATCAACTGACTGCTCCAAGTGAACAGCCGATACGATTTATTGTTTTTGGTGGTCTTCATACGACTGGCAATAATTGTCTCATTCAGTAGTAATACTTACAAATTCCAATTGAGCTTTTGAACACATGCGAAGCACACACGACAATGGTTTTCACATTTGTATAGTTTCAGTCCATGAATAAAAGCAAAGCAAAATCAAAGTTTATAATAAACACTAGATGCAAAAAACAACCGCATTCAGCTTAAGTTTAGCGGAAGAAGAAGAAGAAGAAGAAGAAGAAAGAAACCAACGCATTTTGCTTGAATAATGATTCCAATTTCTTTATTTAAACGTTAGTGCACTGGAAAATATACAGTAAACACAACACAAAACTTGTATAAGTGGTTGTGAATAAATTCAAATGAAATGGTTTTTGACTCATAATAATCACGGTGTGTGTGTTTGTGTGATCTCTGATTTTGATTTCCCGAACGGAATTGCACATTTTGTCATACGCGTGTGTGAATTTCTTTAATATCTTTCTCTCTCAATTGTTCGATTCATCGATGTCTTTTTTTTTGTTCATTTTGATTCAAAGTATACAGACTCAGTTAGCATCAAGTAATTCCATCTACATTTGTCTACATATTATTATCATTCACATATTGACATATTGTTTATTTCTAACAGTTTAACGACTTTCAGTGGATTGTAAGTGTTGGAAATGCAGCCGCGTTACTACATTGATCGCCTATTACAGTTATTGTTGTTGTTTTCATTTTCTCATAAGACTGATGCAAAATCATGTGAAGCCTTGTTTTTACTTGGTCAAAATAAAATGCCTACAATTTGTGTCCTAATTTGTTAGTAATGCATTACATAGTATGAAACTTGAAGCGATTTCGATTGAAACAACTGTTCGAAGTAAAGTTTAGATAAATAGATTTTGTCTTCATTTTGTTTTTATTTAAGTTGAATTGGACGCTGATCTGCTGTTGCAGTCAGTGTACTGGCATAATATGTATTTGATGCAAATTTGAAACGATCTTAAAATGAAATAAACAAATCATCAACTATATTTCTGCTTCTGCTGCTGCCGGAAATTACTATTTACTCTCCATTAGTATTTGTTCATCTTTTATGCTTTCTCTGTGTGTGTGTTTGTGTTCTCAAAGTAACGATTTTATATCGGAAATGATGCTATTTGCAAACTTTATATCATAATATGATTTCAACTAAGCGACTTGCCGGCGAGGTGTTCAATGTTTGTTGAGCCTCGATGCGCTGCGGCTTCCATGCATAATACTTTAAACATAAATCGATATTTAAATATATATTTATTTTAATGTATATATATATACTCTACAAATTTTTTTCTGTTATCTCTGTCCTATATCAAGAACTGTATGAATAGATTTTTTTTATCTTTCTTTGTAAATAATCATCAGAATTCCTCTTTTCTTTTTATACATATATTATAGTAGAATAGAATCTATGTAATTTGTTTGTTTGTTTGTTTTTTTTTTATACTCGATGCCATTTTCGGATTGTTTGATCTTTTTTTTTCTTCTAAATTTTTGTTCGAACCGTTTGTTCTTAAAATGCTCCAAATGGGTCCAGTTGCACATTATTGGCTTTACCATTTTGATGGTCAGTCGAAACTGCACTCGTTTGTTGTGGAATGATGAATTGTTGTTGAGTAGCGTTGGCATTCGTTGGCAGAACCATACCCATGCCCATTGGCATCATTCCCGGCTGCGTTCCGGCCATCATTGGTTGACGAATTGGCATCCCTTGCTGAATGGGTCACATCCACATAAAATAGTAAAATTATGCGTATTAATGAGAATTATTGAGTTAAAACGAAAGAATAAACAATTGAAACATTTGTCGTGGACAATGTTTTACTCTCAATTGAATTTTAAATGTTTTTCGAGAGACCTTTCGAACAGAAATATTTGAATTTTTTTCATGAAATAGAATCTATTTATAAATAATAATAATAGTAATACTGATTACTCAAGTTGAGAAAGACCAAAACCGAAAATAAAATTTTGAAGAAAAAAACAATAATGGCCAAAGATTTGTATACATATTCGAAAGATGTTTCATTTTAAGAGTATCTTCATATATCGTTATATCAATTTTTTTTTTAATTTTAAAATTCAAATTTTAATGAGGAAAGAATGGTGTGTGAGAGAGAGATAGAGAGATATCAATGGTTAGATGGTGCCTACTGGTTTGCTCTGAATGATGATTCTTACCTGTAAGTATTGTGTCATTGCAGAATAGGAAGCATGTACAAATGGATAATGTACAGTGCTTGGAGCTGGACTTACAGTACCTTGCGCCTATTTTTTTGTTTGTTTGTTTGTATTAGCCGTTTTATATATTTTACGTGAGTGCATAATTTTTTTGGTTTTATGTGTGGTTATCGCGGTTTTTTTTATTGTGTGTGTTGTTTTACAAAAAAAAGGAAGAAAATAAATGAAAAAAAAACATAAAATTCGCAACTAAAAAAAAATCAAAATACATTCAAATTAAAAATACTTTGAAAAAAAAACAAAAGTTAACCAAAAAATTTTGTTTTGATAAAAATGAAAAATACAAAAAACCAAAACAAAAACAAAATTAAATTAAATGATTAGTATGCAGAAAAAGGGGTTGCGAATGTTAAAACCGGCCCGTTGTGTACTTGTTTTAAGATGCATTAATGTGCAAGCATTTCTCTTTTTTTTTATTGTTGCATGAAGAAGACATTAGCGCAAACAAAAAAACATATTCATGCTACTATCGAGCAAAAAAAATGTGTCATTTCTCAATTTTGATTTTGTTAATATTTGCATTAAAAACGAACTTAATTCTATAACACCATTCATAAGATTTTTTGTTGCTGCGCATGAATTTTCCAAAGAATATGTTACGTTTTTGTTGTACGTGACAAACATAGTTGTGAATGAAATGTTGATGACAATGATTAAGCGAAAAACATAAACCGTGTGCCATGCAAATGCTTACATGGTTTCGGATGTGAATGGGTGCTTTGGATAAGATATTTAAAATGTTAAACATGAACATTAAAAACATGATTTAATGAATCTTCCAAGCACAGAAAAATGCGAGAAAATGTCATAAAATATTCATAGAATTAAATTAGCTAAGATATCAATCAAATGATTTGAAATGGTGTTTTTTTTCTATGTTGCTGAATGTTTATAAAAAATATACTGCAAACTTGTTGCAATAAAAAAAATATTACGGCCTTAACAAATGCAAATAGATTAACCACAAAATCCATCATACACATATATATATATACGTATAGATCTTTTACTAGGGTACTTCCTTTAAAGTTATATATTGCGCTTCGAATGTCTTCTGTTTTACTTTGACCACTAGAAATAGGTGAATGTTTTCATACTAATGGGCGATGAATGAACGTGTTAGGCAAAATGATAAAAGTGGATAAAATGATACAATAACTGATAGAGAAAAACCGAATCGTTAAATTATTAATTGGGTGTTGGAGAACAGAAATAAATAGAAAATGCTTTAATTAAATCGTAAACTTGAATAAATCCATCAGCCGAAGTAGTCATTTTTTGCACTTTTACTAGAGTTTTTTTGTTTTATTGTTATGTACATGATATTCCGAAAGAGATGTTAGAAAAAAAAGAACAGTGAAGCAAAATGAGTATATTGACAACAATAGATAGACAAAAATTTCATGTAGAAAGTAGTAACAACAATATGGGAACGTAAAAAAAACGGTATTTTCTTACCATTGGACGATAGTTAGCACCAGTTGTAGCGGCCATTGGCTGTGGAGACCATCCGGTTGAACCAGGTTTAGCCGAATTCTTAGGCGAATTCCATTGACCTTTGTTCATCGTTAGATTTTCGGCCAGCGATGCCAACGAGCTATCCAAATCGCCTGTAAGTACTTTTCCCGTTGGATTCGCCTGAGCGGCTTGTTGCTGGCCACCAGCCGGTTGTTGACCTGTTGACGAAACAGAACCGAGAACATTTCCCGTTGGATTTGTTATACTTCCGTTTGTTGTTGTCGCTGTCAAAGCAGAAGCTGGTTTCAAAACATCACCCAATGCGTCAAAACCTTTTTTGTTTGTGTTTTTTATTTTCGTTTCGGATTTCGTTTTTGATCGTGTGTGATTGTAAAATGGTCATATATGTCATGTTTGTTCCCCCAAAAAAATATTAATTAGTGTATGTGTGTGTGGTGGGTTTGTTTTTCGGAAATTTATGTGGAGTTTTAGTGAAATTTCAGGTATTTGGTTAAATAAAATTGATTTCCCATCCGGTGTGTGTAAGTTGAACCAAAATTAAAATATTTTCATTTCAATATAAAAACGAAAAAAAAAGAGAAAGAAGAAAAATGAAAAAAGAAAACAAATAAGAAAATGAGTTAGTTACATGGAAATGATGCGACATAAAACACGTTTACACAACATTTAAAACTTAACTTAAATGGTTCGAACAATGAAACATCTATAGAACAAATGAACACAGTTAAACCATCGAATGAATGAATTTAAAACATAACAAAATACAGAAAGAGAAAATAAAATCGTTGATGATACAATCCCATAATGTAGAAATTCAGTTTCGATGATTCCGATTATAGATTCACTTTACGGTTATCATTAAATATGGGTGAAAATCACATAAACATGTGGTGGCAAAAATATGTAATGCGGCTATAAAGGAGACAAACACTTGATAGGACTTGACAAAATTTTGATTTTTGACACAAAAATTCGTTTTTTCTTCACCATTCCCTTGGCTCAATCACATAAATGAGCAATTACAAAAATCCTAGTCATGATTTTATGAGTAAAACACACACTTTATCTATGTGGTACTAAATTCGTCATGGGATAAGCATATGAAAGCATTTTAATTGGTAAAAAAAAACAACTCAACAAAACAATGCAAAAAGGACGAACGTATGAAAATATTTCGAGGGTATAACATATGAATAAATATCAAACCAAATTTCGATGAAAATGAATATTTGTTTCGGTGGTGCCGTAGTAGTTGTTTAATTTGTGTCAGTGCTGAATGTATTGGAAGTATTTGTGTTGTACTTCTGAAATGTGCTGTGCTTATGGCTTTGTGCAGCTTTTGAATGTAGAAATTTCCATCGAAAAATGTGCTTTGTTTCGTACCAACACCAACCAGATGACTCTTTGACATCAACACAAAGCGACCGTGCCAAGCGCCATATGAGCTATGCCCTTGAAAGCGAACCAAAAAATTAAACACAATCCATACACTCTACAAATTTCATGGCGCACTGAGCGTTTGCACAAAATTTGCAACATTATGAAATGTGCACATTTTGTGCCGTGTGCATGGATTGCACTTTGATATTTTCCATTCGCTATCATTTCCTTGGCCCGGTTTTGCAGTTACACACATACAAAATATTGTACGATGGCAAATGGTCTCGATGATGATGGACACATTCTGGTGTAGATCACACAAACTAGTTTCTACAACCCGTTCATCTTGTTCACAAGTGACTCGATTACTTCGAACAAGACAAATGGGTTGCAGTTCACACAACTAATATTCACCTGCTGGAGCAATTGTTTCCGTAAGGAATGGATTCGCTAATGTCGCTTCTAGAATCATTTATTTTCATTCAGCCCGCCGAGAGAAGTGGCACCAAACACGAGACAGAAATAACACAAATAAAATTAGATATATTTTGAAAAAAAAAAAGATCAAAACTAATTGCTTGGTTCAGTCAAATGAAGTCAAAAAAAAAAATTCGCCACGAAAAAAAACGGACTACGTATTCACTACCAATCAATTTCAATATGCGGTCAACTGAAGTAAAACAAAATGTTGGAATAAATTGCAAACAGTTCGCAACTAAACGTAGTGGGTATTTGACTTGAATTCGGAAAGGGTTGATGTTTAAAATGCTTTTTAACTATGGTTATCCCGATCAATCGACGTAGGTTTATGACGTCGCCTCTACACGTTTTATCATTTTGCTTATATTTTTTCTATGAGTACCAAAGATGGTAATAAACGATTTTTTCAAAAGAATAAATTTCACCATTGGGTTCTGATACAGGGAATCGAGGAAAACCGCATGCAAAACTCAAACCATTAACATTTACTGAAGTATGCTTCACATTGTCATTAAATAAGTTACAATTCAAATGCATTTGCATAATCACGAGAATTATAAAAAAAAATGTGTTTGGTATTCGGTTTGATGGAAACATACTTTTGAATGGATTGAGTTGGATTCAGAGTTGAAAAAAAAATCTGTTTGACAGGATTTTAACCTGTTAAACGATAATTGAAACCGTATGAATTTCGGATTAGTTTTTTTTATCTGTACAGTTGTTTAAGTAAGTGCACACCCAGTTAATTATTGTTGTTGTTGTTTAAAAAATTGCAAATTGTTATTATTGTGATGTGTGCATATGCATGAATTTCGTATGTGGAATATTGCATCAGAAATAAGAAATAAAAAGTAAACCATATCAAATTGATGTTGCTTGGTTTGATGATTGTTAGTCTTACCAACTGGTTCAGTGGCACCGAACACTGACGAGAAATTACTGTCCGAAACGAATGCGTTGGATTGTGATGCAGGAGCTAAATTCGAAGAAAAAAAACAAATCAATTAGTAAAATCTTCTTTAGAAAATTCATTCCGATGCTTACCAACTAGCGGCTGCGCAGCAGGAGCAGGACTACCAAACATATCTGCAAACGGATTTCCCAATTGCAGCAGATCATCGGATGCCTTCGAATTTGGTGGCTGGGCGGAAGCTGCTGTTGGGCCAAACAAATCAACAATATTTCCTGAGGTTGTTGGTGACGACAAAAATGGGTTATTTGCTGCAGCCGATGCACCTCCAGTTGGCGATGATTTTGTTTGCTATTTGGAATTTAAAAAAAAAGAGGGAAAGGTTCAATTAACCGTCAATTTGATTTGAGCCATCTTTTGAATATTTTACTCTGTATTGGTTCATGGCGGCTTCTTCTTCGGCAAGAGCTTGTTGTTTGATTGATTCATCGATACCATTTGCATATTGATCCCCACGAGCTCCTGAAGCACCAAACCCAGAGCTACAAATGACCAAAAGAAATTGCGTGTTGTGAATATGGTGAAGACTCTTCACTGAAGAGAAATATTCAAACGTTAATGGAATTTATTTCGGAGCCATACCTTGACGATTGTGTTGGTGTGTTTGCAGCTGAAGTTTTTCGACCTTCCAATGTAGCAAGATGTCCTTCAAGAGCATCGAGTAATGAGCTTGGAGCCTTGGTCAAATCTGGAATATCTCCCTTATCGATGCCAACATTCTGTGGGACGAAAATTAGTGATTAATTTGCATTCATTCATTTCACAAGGATCAGAACATTTTTGAGAAACTATTTCAGTTGAGTTTTGCAAGAAATGTGCCGCTTTTCAAGTGCCATCGATCCCTTCAGTTCCCATCAATCGAATTAAATGTTTAATATCGTACCTCGGCAACTTTGAGAAATTCGCCGACACGATCCATTCGCACCAAGAAACGCTTATACAAGTCCAGAGCGTCTTTACACTGCTTCTTGTTCATATCAAAGTATTTCTCCAGCAAATTAATGATTCCATCATTGTAGCATGCAAACAAACGGATCAAGTCACGAAACAGTAGCATGAAGCACATGTTTATCACACCTGAAATTGATGTTGCACATAAAATTCATTCATTATCAATGTTTAGAGGAAGAATGAGAGTCATGTGTCGCAAATGGGTAATTTACCGTTAGAGAGATCATTTGCTTGGCAGTCGAACTCAAGCAGACCGTCCAATTGGGACTGCAGTACTGGTAATGTTTTCAGCAATTTATCAGCGTTCATTGTACGCAATGAACCCTCCTCCTTTCCACGCTTCACTTTGCAAAAGTCAAATGCCACGGTGCGATATGACAATGCCTTATCGTTCAGGTATTTCGCATAGCGTCGTATGAACGGCGACATATCATAGCCTTAAGAATGGAAGAGAAAAAACGGAAAAAACCGCTTAAGTTAATTAAAATTATGAACATATGCCAACGAGAAAATTAATAACAAACATAAAAGATAAATATGATATACGAATATAAAACCAAATATCATAGTTTATAAATCGAAACAGAAAAAAAATAAACGAAAAAAAAATGGGCAGATTTCCCAACGGGTTAGCCAATCGCCAATTAAAAACGAAATCATGAAAAAAACGAGAACGAAAGTTTTTTGTTCGAGGTAAAATTATCTGAATACTTACCAATCCTTGCACCGACGGTGCCTAATATCGCAAAGGTGTTATTAGATTGAAAAATTGACGCAGTAGAAAGAACCAGGTTGTTAGTTGCATGAAAGAGATTTTCGGGATTTTACGGAAGCAAAACAAAGAAATTATTTACATAGTTTAGTAAGTTTATATTCATTTTGAGGCGGGTTATTCTCATGTGTTGAACTGTTGTGAAAATTAAAAGCATTTCTAAATGATTTTGATTCTGATGTTATTATTTCAAAAGCAAGTTAGTCAATTTTCGCACATTTTTTCTCATATTTTAAATAGAAAACAGTTTGCACTTGGAATTGAACATGGACATACCTTGGACGCCACCTTTATCCAGAAAATTGCTTAAATTAAACGTGGAATTACTTGACGCTAGGTATTGCATAAATCTCTGCAAAACAAAAACAAAAACATAAAATGCATCACATTGCATGGTCATTTCGGGCATTTCCCAATCGATTTTCGATGAATTTTACCTCATTTCCATATGCTAGTAGATGATGTACGGTGAGTAATGATTTGTATACAACCACCCAATTTGCATTTTGTGTTCGTTCCACCAACAAGTTGGCCAACTGTGGTATTGATACATTTGGTTCATTTGTACAGTGCACTAAATCTGTGAAGAGAAAACAAAACCATATGGAAATTGTATTTAAAATTTTTGTCGACGCTAGCAAAGCATGTTTCAAATTAAGAGCTTCTTGATTCATCATTAGTTAGAGTGAGAGGGGGAAAGAGAAAGAGAGAGAGAGGTGGAGAGCCAAAGAAAAAAAAATCTAAAATAAATGAACATCTTTCTTTCCCTCTCGAAATGATTTAGTCGTTCGAGAATCGTCCCATTCGAAACAACACAGAATCGGTGCATGGAAAGTTTTTCCATATCATCTGTGTTTACTTGACAGCGACGACACCGCACAGTTGATTACAGTTCAAGCAGCGCAACCATTAATTAACAGCTGATTGACAAACAATTTTGTGTACAAAATCACAACTGTGTTAATATAACGATGGTATAATTGTCGAGGTTTTGTTAATTTTAATGTGTGCCCAATCGCAGTGATCCAAAATACTATGTAAACATGATACTTTTTCAACGCCCACCTCGATAACTGCAACGCGACCATTTTTTTTTTGCACACAATTTTTCTACATCCGGATTATGCTGAGATTATTTAATCTTAATAATGCCACTAATAAAGGCCAAACCATGAAAAATCTACATTTGTAACATTGAACATGGAAGAGAAACGAATTCTGTCATAGGAACTGCCAGCCAGTCAGGATTATAGATTTTAATTATTACTTTCTCCTTTGAACTGATAAAGCAAAGGTTAATGACTGACTCTCAACAAAATATTTATGAATCGTGATTGCTCATTTTCTTTTCCATTGTCTCTGCGGCATCTGTTTCGAATAAGTGCTAAAAAAATGGTTCGAGTGCTACTTGAATATTTAAAATGTTTTAGAAGGCGTACATCTGTTGAGTTGTGAATTGAACAATGAATCAACTGGCATAAATTTATCGCGATTGAGTGCATTTTATCAGAATGCCACAGCCAGCTTCAAGTGCTTTTAGTGCAAAAAGAATGAATAATCCGACGGAATTCTTTATCGCAACAGCGCTAACAATTTCCGATTCTTGGCGTGGTTTTCATTTCATTTTCTTCAAGCCATAGATTCATCACAGAAGAATGTTTCAGAAAAAAAAAATCCGACAACACCTTTTTTTTATTAATTTTAATATAACCATTGGGGGAAATGATAGAAAAGAAGTAGAAGAAAAGTCGAAAAAAATGTAGTGTTTTTGATGAAATTTCGACATTTGACTTGATGAAGAAATCAATGCGTAAACAATGTGTATGCTGCTGTGTGGTAATCTGTAGCTGTAGCAAGTGTATGCGTGTGTGTGTATGATAACACACAACTGTAGCCGTTTGACTGAAGTAGATACAATTTGACCGAACTTTTTTCCCCTTGTCAATTCGCCATCGCACACAAATCTTCGCACAACCACATTCGCACCGACGAAAAATTGATTTGCGCGCTCACAATGGCACGATAGAGAAAAGCTGAACGTGAGAACGAACGTCATCTAACACAGCCTAAACAGCTTTGCACACATCGCAACACCACCAATACGAGAGAGAAAAAAGAAAAAAGAAACAATATGCCTCCTTATTCCATGAGTCGAATGAAAATCGCAAGCATATTTGTAGAACGCATTTACATGACAAGAGAGCGAGAGCATTAGTATGTTGGGCTTTGGAATTAAGGTTGCCCACAGCACAATCTATACGTATATATATATATGGTGTAAATACACATGATATGCATATATGTGAAAGATTCGTGCGACGCATAGCCTCTGATATGCTGCACAGTGTATAAACATCGTTATGTTTCATATCCAAAAGAAACCCATAGCATATACTTCAAGGACACACAACCACAGTCACGCGGAATGTTTACGAGTATTGTGTGTATGTCCGGGGCGTTTGTGTGAGTTGTGTAAACTGCAATCTTATATCGAAAACGAACAGATATATATTTATATATGAATGAATGCACGCCAAAACGATAATGAAATGGGAGAAATGTATCTATTCGATGGGAAAAAACAGGAAATTGTTCTCTATCTCTGCAGGAAAAATATGTATGATTGAACTGGAATTGATACGACAGTGATGAATACGGAGAGAAAAAATGGTTCTATCGAAACAGAATGATGACCAATTAAGATTGAATAAATGAAACTGATAATGTAAACCTCAGTTGTTTTTCTTTCTCTCTTTTTCTCTCTCCCACTTTAATTGGACAACCGTGTGGAAGAGAAAAAAACACCAAACTATATCGAATTGATATGCTTTTGACGTCTGATACACCTAGATTTCATTGAGAAAAAAAAAATAATACACTTACAATCTAAATGTTTCTTTTTCGGTGCAATCATTTCTTCTGTAGTCGCCTTGCATACTGATTTAGCAAGTCCTTGACCAGCTAAACTGTGACGGGCCGCTAAAAGTCGATCGTTTATTGTTTGACCAGCCATCATTTTAATTTCTATCTCTTTGTCTCTTTCTGCCTCGTAATATTTTCAAACGGTTTGTATGTTTCACTTAAATACGTTTGTGTAATGGGGTTTTTTTACACAGTTTTGAAATTAACTTCTATTAATTTCAATGAATCTTGTTCGCTTTTTTTTATTTGATCAAGTGTTTTGCGCGCCGTGATTTTTGTTATGTATCGAACTTAACAGAATGACAACGACACGAAAGTGGCTTTGACCGATTAAAATATGTTATTGGAGACGAAGCACACGCTTCTATTTGTATTTGATTTTTTCGTGCTTTCTTTTCTTCTTCTTTTTTTTATTGTCGTTGTATAGATCTTTTATCTTTGAATGATTCTGGTAGTTGTTGTTGTTTTTCTTGGTTGGAATGTTTCTTCACGACACTCAATTTACTCGTAAATCGTTGTACAAACACTATGCACAGGACACACAAAATTCACTTCATGCGTATGGTGAATAATCGATTTTTGTAATACACACACTTCTTACAGCTCTTCGTGACTAATGCCATTAATTCTATTTCGCTCACATTATACGGAATCGGTGTCGCTTTGCCACACACACACGCACACACGTTTTATCAGTGACAAAAAAGAAAATTTTAAATTTTTTTACAACTTAATTTTTTATTTTACCGCAGCCGAGAACACTGGCCTCGTTGCCCATAGATTGAAATATGAAAATGAATTTGATGCCAAATGACAGCAGCGCAAGTATCTTTTCTTTACGCAAACAATCAATACACCATACTGATATCACACACAAATTCTCTTGCTTTTTTTCGCCTGACTTTTTTCCACTCTTACTTCGACAATAAATAAACGGGACACTTCTTATACTAGACGAAGACTATAGAATTATTTTTTAAAAAAATAAATTACATCGATTTCCTTTCCTTTTGCCGTATAAAAAGAATTTTTTTTTTTTTAATTCGTTCAATGTTTGATGGAATCAAAAATGGTTCTCATGCAACAACACCACTGAGCCGTAGGTCGGATTGTACTCGATTGGCATCTTTTTCACGTACTATGTGTTTGTATGTATCTCTCTACCATTTAGCCTATTTTATCGCCTTTTCAGTCACACATTTCACTTGTATTCGTAAATCTAGCGAGTGTTGCGTATTTTTTTTAAATGGCAAAGCGGAAACCTTTTCGGCAAGATCCAAATCGTTTTTTTTTTCGACTGAAAACCAGTTTTTTTTCCTTTTCATTTAGATTCCGCTTGGTGATTCAATGAAATGCAAATTAATTTGTGCATTCAACGTGATGGAGAAAAAAATACACAAATTCCATTTTCAGAAAATGAATTTTTTGGAGTACACGTTGACACATAATCTAGTCCTACAGTTGCTATCGTTAAATTTTACCCAACCAATTTGGATATTTAAACTTCTTGACATGCAAAAATGATGGATTAATTCGATTTGGTGCCGCATTTGGGTGACATTTTTTCAATTTTCGTTGAACAAAGCTAAAAATTAACAAAAATCTATCAATTTTCATTCATTCTTTATTTTACTAGCAGTAAACAGTGGCGTTCGTGCACTGCTCACGAATATTTGACACTTCATTGCACTGACATTTGAATTTTTTTGACAGCGTAACGAATGTTGGTTATGTTTTGGTTGATTTGAAATTGAACCAGCACATATGATTTTAGCAATATTTTGATTTGATAAAAATGAGCACACAAATTAGGAAAATTATCGCTAGGAAGGTCAGATCAAATGTATTTTCATTCATTTACATTGAATTCAAGTGATTTTTTCTTTCCATTTTAGTTATTCGAGGCGGTTGACAATGGCAAATTGAATCCAGTGGAATTTTCAAATAAAATCATTCCCAACTTACAGTTTAGAACCACTGCCGAAGGTAAATCGTTGTATCAAATTAATCCAAAGAATCTTCAAAAATCGTTGAATGACAATTCACTTGCGATCAATGAATTGGTATCAAAGGTTTTATCTACAAAATGCAATGATTCACCGGCGATTGCATCGATATCTAGCCACGAAAAAAACTTGATATTTCATTTGAATCAGCCAGTCTTTGTGGGTGGCATTTTAACTGCTTCTACCGAAAATCCATCTGATTACAAACTTATCGACGAGCCAACGGAAAATATTATTGTTGAGTATAGTTCACCGAATATCGCCAAACCATTTCACATTGGCCACTTGAGATCGACCATCATCGGCAATTTCATTGCGAATGTTTTTTCAGCTTATGGGCACAATGTCACTCGAATCAACTATCTCGGTGATTGGGGCACACAATTCGGTTATTTAAAGCTCGGTATGGATATGTCGGGCTTATCTGACGAAGAAGTGGCCAAAGATCCCATCAAACACCTGTTTCATGCATATGTTCAAGCGAACCGTGTTGCCGAAACTGATTCAGAGTTTGCAGCAAAGGCCAGAGAAGTATTTAGTCAAATGGAAAATGGGGAATTGCCCGATTTGGAGGCATGGCGACAATATCGTGAATACACGGTAAAAGAAATGGAACGCGTGTATGGGCGATTAGGAGTTAAATTCGATGTGTATGCATGGGAATCAGACTATCGAAAAGTAAATATTTTAAATCAACTGGAACTATTGAGGAAATCGGACTTTCTTCAAGTCGAAGCCGATGGAAAGGAAACATTTGTTTTAGACGAAAATGTACGAAAACCACTTCTGAAAAGCGATGGCAGCACACTTTATTTAACGAGAGATGTGGCTGCTGTTTTTGATCGCCAGGAGAGATACAAGTTCGATCGCATATACTACGTGGCTGGAAATGAACAACATCAACACTTTGACGGTCTTTTTAGCATTGCGAAGAAAATTGGCGTTCGAAATGCTAACCGGTTGCATCATGTGAAATTCGGCAAAGTGGAGAAAATGAGCACGAGAAAGGGCAATGTGGTTTTTCTCAGCGATATTTTAGATGAAATTCGAGATTTGATGCATAGCAAACAAATTAGTTCGCCTAGTAAGTGATTGTTCAAAATCGTTCAATTTTTATTTTTTCTTTGCATTTCTGATTACGAATTCTGAATAACAACCATCTTCATCTATCTTCAGACACAAAAATCGACTTGGAATCAGATGAGAAAAGAACGGCCGATATCGAAGGTGTCTCCGCTATAATATCCTATGAGTTACAAAGAATGCCCACCGCAAGCTATGAATTCCATATGGATGATATCATGAAGGTATGCAAAAAAATTCAAGTGCAAAAAAAACACACTTTCGCACATTTTTATTCCTTCCATAATGATATTGTTGGTATTTATGTATCGCGGTTCCATTTTAGGATGCCAATGCTAGTGCAAAGAATTTCCAAATGACCCATAGCCGACTTTGTAGCTTAGAATCCGTAACATCAGTACAAGCTGCAAGCGAATATGATCCAAAATATCTGTTGGAACCGGAGGCAGTACAGTTAGTCTTAGATATAGCACGATTACCCGATGTTATTTATGAGTCGAAGCGAATCTTAGGAGCACAACGCCTGCTCAATTACATGTTTTCATTGAAGTTTGTATTTCCATATTCAGTTTGTTCAAGTTTTTTTCATTCAATTTTGTAATATCAATTGACGAATGAACTAATTCCTAACTGAAAATTACACTTACAGCACTCGTACGAAAAAAGCACTGAAAGCATTACCAATCAAGGGAGACGATAATCCAAATCGACAGGCTCAACGAATGCTGTTGTTCAAGTCTGCCAAAAATGCGCTAAGAGCGTGTATGAAGCTGATTAGTGTGACACCCTTAGAAAAGATTTAAAATCTACCAAATGTGATACATTTTCAGAAAGAAAGAAAAGAAAAAAAAGAATGAAAAAAAAACCATACAAAATTCATTCAAAAAAGTGTTTATTTTAATTGTTTCTGCAAATGAATTTTATAAATTATTCCATTTTCTTGAGTAAGTATGTCTTCCGATAGAAGTCGCCAAACATGAACATCATGAATAAATTCTGGAGGGCCATTATGATGCAAAACAGTTTTGGATAGGTGCAGTCGGCAACAAAAATACAGATAGAAAAGTGAACTCCCAGCAACAGGAATTGTGTGAGTTGAATTTGTGTGATGTGTTTTTTCCACCAAATGGATTTTTTCACATTCTCATCGAGCGCACTGAACAGATAGTATCCATACATGACCGCGTGTACGAAGCAGTTCAAAATTCCAAGCATTGTACCATGGCCCGCCGCACAAAAACGTGAAGCAATAAATCCACCGAAAACCATTCCCGTATGGTGGTAAACGTGCAAAAAGGTGACGTGGCTGAATTTCTTACGAGCAATGAAGAATAGCTGCCGAAAATAAAAATGCAAGTTAAGCGATGTTCATCACAAATGTATGGAGTTGATGAAAAATAAGCGTCTGCATGTAGGCAACATATTATCCACAGCCATTGTTTAAACTCACAGTATCCAGCAAATCGAGCACTTTCAAAAGGAAATAACAATATGTGGCCAATACTTGATGCATGGCATTTTCACTCCGATCGTTTTGTGGTGTTGGCGAATTGCAGCTCAGATTGAATGTGCCTTGATAATATGTCACTTTGAAAATCTAAAAATAAACGGGATTTTGAAAAAAAGGTCCAATTTTTTTTTTAAATTTAACTTACATAAATCCACACAAAAATGTTGGCAACGATTTGGAATGCATTGTACACAATTAAAATGGACTTTATTTGGAATGGAGCTCTGTCTTTCATAAATCGTGGACCGAACGATAGAACGATATACAGATAGGAGGCACATATTGCGAAAATTATGAGCGGTGAATTAATCAGTGGCAAATCGTCGGTTCTTGGATCTAAAATTTTGAATTGATTAACACATTTTTTTCTTCATTTTTTTTTTTAAATCACATTTTTTCTACCCGAATATTCGACCAAATATGTTCTGTAGACATTATACAGTTGTCCTAAAACGTAAGCCATTTTAAAAAAAACACAATTATCCAAAAAAAAAGCACGGCAAATTCACGATTATTGGATCAAATGTTTCCTTTTTTAAAATGCTCAAAACTCCTTTATGCCGTGTGCCACCTCAACGAATTAGAAACAAAATGACTGTTGATGGCGTTGTTCCCTCTTTACGGCGTCAATAACTCTTCGATGTGTGGCCCTTATTAAGCATGCATTTGCTTAAAGTTTTCACATTAATGCAAGAATTTTGGTTAATTTACATATCAATTGCGTGCAATTTAATTAGGCATTTTGAACAATCAGATATATGTGCAGAATACACACGTTTTTACGTGCTTGACTAACAAATCACAAAAAAATTGACTTAGTATTTGGTAACGGAACACAAATAAACCGTCTCCTTAGAAAAATTTAATTTAACTGTAACGGCGGTGCTGATCATTTGTAAATAGGGTCTCTTCTACCGAAAAATAAAAAGAAATTGCGGCCAATACTACAATTATGTGTTCGCATTATGACACAGCAGAAACGTACAATACAAATTTTCTGTCGTAGTATTGACCTAATCAATACACTTATTGAGAGACAAATATGCATGAGGTTAAAAGTGGTCATCAGTGGGAATGCCTAATTAATTATCCATCAAAAAGTAGTCTGTGAAATTCCAGAAAATAAACGAAATAAACGTGGTGTTCCAAATATGCGAAATTTAATACGAAGGAGTGAACGAAAGGAAAAAAACCTACAAAATTACAGTACGATTTCTTTTCATGTACACAAACAAAACTAAGGCAATCATCTACTTGTGCTATTTCCTCGAATACCACAAAACGTATCCCATAGAATGACGTGGTCACTTACAACACACTGCTGTACACGAGACATCTGGTTTCTGACTCTATCATTCTGTCTCTTTCCACCCAGCTACGGTGTGCCGCACATCGCATTGTGGAATAGAAAAACAATTTTCGTATTCGAAAACATCGTGATTGAATATCTGTTTGATTACAAGAAATGCAACGTGCAATTAAGTTGCACAAAATTGAGTGTTTCGAAGAGTTGGGGTTTTTTGTTGTTTCTTCTTTGGTCTGTTTCCGGTTCAAAATGAAAGCGCAACGAATACAGCAGGCAAAAAAAATGAGCTCCCGAAAAAATGAAACTGCTTATTTGATAACCGAATGCATTCGATTATCGAATTATATATTTATGTCATAACCGTGGACTTTTCTTCCCTTCAATTATTGTGTGTATGTTTCTGTACTCCATTTTTAGTTTTCTTGTGTACTTTTTTTTCTCTCTTATTTTGGTTTTCGTTCATTGCATTCGTCTCCATTTAAAACGAAAGCGTACACCAAGCACGAAAAGCTACTTAGCTCTTTCTCTTGCTATGATTCATCTCTCACCGGGTACGCTGTGAAAATGCTGTGTGATTTATGGTGGCGTTGGCTTTCGTGACTGTAATGCTGCATAAAAATTGCCAATAACCATCTATGTCAATTTTTCCGTAGCGTATCCACTGGTTATCATAAATGATTCCTTTGGTGTTCGATCAATTTATTGGAATCGTTCTGGTTCAATTCGTTTATTATCGATCGTGTCGATCGAATCACATTGAAACGGATTCAAATGCAAGAGCGAACGAGAGATAGAGTGAGAGATTGTTTCCAATTGTTTGAACTGTTTTGCCTATGTGATCACAAAAGCATACAATCGGTATTTCATGCGCTACACTTATCATTCATCGCATTTCCTTAGCATTCTTTTTCTTTTCGTTTTGTTCGAGCAAAGTTGTTTACTATATGCCCAATTGAATTCCATTGTTGGTGAAAGAGTTTAACAATTTTGATGGTACAATTAATAAATAGACACGTTTCTTTATTCGTTTGTCGGCGAAATTGAGATCAAAGGCCACTCATTTTGTTGAGGTTTACTTGATCTTTTCGAAATATAGCTATCACGTGGTGAAACTTTTTTTCTTCTTCTCTTTTTCTCTCTCGACCCCAAGATGTGCACCAAACTAGCGACTCTCTGTTATAAAAAGTTGGAATTGTTTCCCAAAAATAGATAAGGATCATTTGAATACCGTCCGAGATGTGATAACCAATAACAATTTGAATAATGCGATTGCTACTGAATTGACCAAGAATTCGAATGCAAATGCGAACGCCATAGACATTTACTTGCAAAAATCCATTAGCAATTCCAAGCATTTGCGTTTTTAATTCATAATGTAGAAATTATCACCGAAACACGTGCAAATATTGAACCCAAAATGGGAATTTCGTATGGTGAAACTCACAGGTAAACAGGTAATTATCGGTTAGGTGTATTTCAGGTGCAAAAATGAAGCAATTTTCACTAAAATGAATTTCCCAATTAATGTAATAATGTTGCTTTGAACTGGGTTTCATTAATTTTTCCAAATGATTTTCAAACTGTCGCCAAGGTATATAAAGCCTTCATCCGATCGATAAACAGTATCAGTTTGCTTTCACAGCTCAAACAGTATTCAGTTCGAATTATCAAAAAAGTAATAACAATCAGTTCAAAATGAAATTCACTTTGTCAACTGTCGCTTTGTTTGCATTCATTGCATTGGTCCACTCTTCACCGTTGCCAGAGGAAGAAGCAGCAGCTGCAGCTGCAGCACAACCCAATCGTCCACTGATTAATTTGTTCAATTCGGCCACCAGCGCAGTCAGCCAAGCATATGAGACCACTGCTGAAACTGCATTTTCTGCACTTAAAGGAACAGCCGAAACACTCGCCAATTTCGTTGGCAACACCGCCCAAACCGTGTCCAATGGAATGAACACAGGAGCCACAACATTTGGCAATTTCATCCAAGCACCATTCCAGTCGAATGCCCAAGCTGCCGAACAAGCTGCCGAACAAGTATAAATTTAATCGTTCAAATACAGACAACTGAACTGTCCAGCATTTTGATTGAATCCAATCAATTTTAATGAACAATTTTAAATTTAAATATTTAAAAGTCGAATCTGCCTATTTATTTCATTCAATTTCAATCATTGCTATAATATTTAAATATTTAATTATTTTATTAAAAACAATAAAAAATCACAATTTCAAAAATATTTTGACTATTTTTTCAAACAAAGAATTGAGAGTTTTTTTAAATTTGTATTTTTTTTTAAATCCTTTGATCGAAGATGCGTCAATATTGATCGATGCTTAATAGTTTTTGAATAGTTGATTCTATTATTCTGATTTTGACAAGGGGCGAATTCCTACTGAAAAATTGAATTCAGTACTTTTCTTTGGTTTTTAGTGAAAGTACTGAATACTTTCAGTTTTTTCAGTCCATTCCTCCCTTGGATTTTGATGCCAACATACAATTCCTTTAGCTGATTTGGAGTCCAAATTGAAATTGAAAAATCTTTAAACCGCTGTTCTGTTTATGTTGATTAGTTCAATCGATGCAAATGGAGCAATCGCCAGATGAAAATATGGTTTCAAGCTTGTTCAGTAGTTTGATCTTATTCATTTTAGATTTTGGAATCGAAAATTTTCTGTACATGACCGCCCAATGGAATCATTGTTTTTATTGGATTTTCGTTCAAAGAAGAAATGAAACGATGGTGATGAATCTTATGAAATGGTGTCTGGAAAAAATTCAAAACTTTTATGAAAAAAATATAAGGCATACCTACTTTCGCAAATGTTTGTTTTGGAACGACCTAAATTGTTCAATTAGGATTTTAGAATCGCTTCATTTGGACAATGAAATCATTGAAATATGTTACAACAATCAAATGACGGCCTGAGAAGAAAAACCTTTCCTACAAAACCTGTGCGCAGAACACAAATACAGAAATTTTTTAGTCAAAAGGCGAACAGCAAATTTGCGAGCGCAAAAACCTAATATATTTACAGCTAGTAGGCTTGTTATACTTTTGCGCTCGCTGTAAATATATTAGGTTTTTGCGCTCGCAAATTTGCTGTTCGCCTTTTGACAAAAAAATTTCTGTGTTTGTGTTCTGCGCACAGGTTTTGTAGGAAAGGTTTTTCTTCTCATGCCGTCAAATGATGAACAATAAAAGTGGGAATATAGAATTTCATCTTTTTTCAAAACCCTTTTCTGTTTAATACTGATTTAATATCGTCTAAGGATTTTGCAAAGCCGCTTGTTCTTAATTATTTCATTTCACTTAACAAAATCCGTTGCACAGAAAGCAGTTGTGCAGCCGTGCTGTT